TAAGTGCGAGCTAATCAGATGTGATCTGATTGATTTTTTTTATCCCTCGCAGAAAATGTAAAAAAGTAAGAGATTTTCGGTTCGAGTTATTTATTAGTATATATATATAATAGCATTTTTTTTTTTCTTTTGGAAAATCAATTGCATTGGGGGACAAAGAGGTTGGAGTTGTAGGCTTTTCTTTTATCACAATTCTCCCATCCAAAGGGGTCCCATACCTAACTCACTTTCTTAGGGAGGGAGTGAGTGAAAATTTGAGGGAAAAGGCAGAGGAAAGGTCTCACATTTTCAAGAGGCATCTTTAGAAAAGTAAATCTTATATGAAATTAGGGTTTTGTTAAAAGGTGACCCAAAAGGACTAAAAAAAAGTTGGAAAACAACACTCCCATCATGTTTTTGCAATGATGTTTGCATAAAATTCATACAACTTCAAAGGCATTTATCATATCCTTTGTAGACCTAACTTACATTCTTTGTTCTATCTCTACCTTTCAAGATCTTAATTTATAAGTATCTCATCTTAATTTTAAATAATCCTTTTATGATTGAAAATTAATTAAGTATATGACACCTAGTCAAAGCCAAATAATTAGTTTGTGTGTTTAAGCATTAGCCTAATAGACAGTAATCAGTACTATATATAAATCTCAATTTAAAAGTTAATTATGAAATTAGTAGTTCAGTGATGGAGTGTAATAGCATATGCAACATATAAAAAGGGCGTCAATTGACCTTTTTTTAATTTTTTAATAAATATATGTATATTTGTCTAAATTAATCCATAAAATTTAATTTATTTATGTCCTTGACCTCTCTTTTTTTAAAAAATAATATATTGACTGGATAAAAAAAATTTCTAGATCCCCCACTGATGGAGTGCGTAATAAAAATTAAGGGTTATGCATTAATTAATTATATATTGAATTCTAATTAGTTAGTATTGATATAAGCAATGGAGTTTTAAAATATTATATTGAGTACATAACTAAGGAAGAACATATGCATAGCTAGAAATCACCTATATAATTATAATTTTTTTTATCAGCGAAATTAATTTATTTTATTATAATAAAACATACCAGGAAAAATTTAACTTATCCAAGTAATTTAACTCGAGCCAATAGGCTCCCCAAAACACCCGAATCTAACTTAAAAAAGTTAAGTGAAAAAACCTGATAAAAAAAATACTTTAACAGAACAAAACCAAAAAGGATATTCATAAGCTCTTTTATCGAGATAAGAAGAGAGGGCAAAAAAAAAAAAATACATAACCATGCTATTACATAGTTATAGCATAACTATGCTATTATAATAATTATTAGTTTATGTTCTCATTATCATTTTGCACATAGGTTAATTCTATTAGCTTGTATTATTAAGAGCTCCTCCATCTATAGCTTAGCTACATTATTCTGTTGTAGCACGCTTTAACTATATATATAAGATGTTGAGAATCGTACGACAAAATATGAACATATATATAATAAATTTAACTAATTAAGACAAGTGAATAATAATAATATTGATTGGTATGTAATGTAATAATATATAAAAAGACTCAAACGTGCTTCCCTTTTATTGATTAAAGCTCAAACCAAAACCCTCTTTTTAAGTTTTTACTTATACATTATATATATATATAGAGAGAGAGAGAGAGAGAGAGAGACATCATGAATTATAGCGTTTGATTCATTTTAAAGAATCATAAGCCTTTGGTTTAGAGATCTGGAATTGCCATGTTGCATTGGATGGGATTTGGTTGTTGCTTGTTTTTAGCTTTCCTAAAAGGAGAGCCAATGCCAACCATGAACCAACTCTCTCCCTCACACCTTTCATAATATTCTATGCAATTATTCTACAATAACTTATTTCTCTTAATACATAAATTTACTTTTTTCTATCTTATTATTTATAATTTCAATTAATTTTTATTTTATTATCTTAACAACACGTTCTTTTAATAATGTAATCCATGCGATTTGATTATTCCCTGCTTGCTCAAGGAAATAAATAAAAAACTGGTTTTTAAAGATTTTGGCTTGAAAAATGCTCAAACTTATAATATTATAAATCTCTCAATTCTTTTAAGTAATAGACGTGGGTTAAATTAATTTTTAGTTTAATTAATAAGTGAATTTATTTATTTTTAATATGTCAATCAAGATATAAATTCATCTATCTCTGTCAAAAATATAAATAATATAATTTTGTTTTGATATAAGAATGACTTTTAAAAAATGCAAAAATTGATTTTATGATATTGTATAAAAATATTAAAAACGGTTAAATAAAAAATATTATTTCATGTAATTGGTAAGTTTCTATAGTTTGTATTTGACCCCAATTAATTGGACTCTCATAAAGGGGCAAACAAGTACACCGTGGCAATACTCCATTTGCCACTTGTTAGCTTTCCCATAAATCTAATAAGAAAAGAAATGGTACTAAGGAATCCGATCCTTTTATTATTCTTTAGTATATGTATATATATACAAGTACAGTGGTAGGTCTCTTTATTTATTTTTGTTGTTTTCCCCTTTGGACTATACCTCTACGGATTTTTGTTTATGGTTTCTTATACAATGTATAAGGATATATATATATATATATATACATACATTATTTAGTATTTTTATTTTCCTTCCTTTCTCCAACATACATAGTAAAACCAACCCAATCAATACAAATCATTTCCCCTCTTACATAATTAATATTTTTGTAAATCCTAGGGTTAAGTAATTAATTAAGATTAGGGTTTAATTAGTAAAGAAAAGTGGTAAGAGATTCCATTTTTCTAAAGCTTAGGTCTTTGAGATTGCAAGTCCCGAGGCCAACTAATAATGACATAAGAAGAGAGAGAGAGAGAGAGAGGAGAGGCACAGTCCATTTCCATCAATGGTGTGTAAGGTAATAAAAAAATTAATTAATTAAATTTTAAAAAATTTGAGCAAGTAATTTTTTTATTGTTCATGGGATGAACTCTAGGTAAAGCCTTGCTAAAGGAGAAACATATAATATAAAAAGAAGGCTTTGGTCTTCTGAGAATGTAAGTGATGAATCATAGCCATTGGATTCAATTACTTTGAAAGTGATCTACCAAGTTGCAATAAAAATAAAATATAAATAGAGACATTTTTTAAAAAGGGGTCATAGGAAGAGAGAATATTTGACAACTTGAGCATCAATGGCTGCAATGCAAAAACTCATAATTCATATTTTTTTATTAAGTAATATCTACTGACCAAGAAAGATTTATGTTATGTAATTTTTTAAATCTCAAATTGCATCAATGTGTGGCACATAATCACATATTATATTATTACAATTATTAGACTTCTGGTTGTAACTTCACGTACAATGAAAGATTGCATAAATTTATGTAAAAAATAAAAAAAAATTAAAAAAAGTTATACGAAAATATTATATTTTTTGTACAAACAGTGTAAAAATGTGAAATAGAGATACGGAGGTTAAGTGAATTTTTTTAAGAATATTAAAAATAATTAATAAATTTTTTTAATTTTAGATTTTTATATATTAAACATATTAATTATTAATAATGTGAAATAAATGGTAATAGAGTTAAATTAATAAATTTTTATTTTAATTTAAAGAAATTAATTATTTTTTAAATCACTTATATTTATGGAGAGAAATAGTAGTAACAATGTACCTGAGCAGTTATTTCAAAATTAAGTGTAAGATGTTGTTGACTGATCTCATGGTGGCTGCATCTTCATTAATTATTGCATTTCTTTTATGGAAAAGAGTTTTTAGTAGTTGAATTTAAAGCAGACAAAGACAAGAAATTGAAGTTGTTGATGAAAATCAGCAACATTTTGACCTCAGCTCACTGATAAAAAGAAAATACACTAAAAAATGAGACGTCTTAATTTATATTTTCTTATGTTTTTTAAAATGATGAAAAATGAGACGTCTTAAATTTGATAAAAATATTAAAAAAATATTAATTATTGATAAAAAAATATAAATATTTGTTAGAAGGATATTATTCATATTTTCTTTTTCTCTTTTTAATGTATATATATAAAGTTGGTTAGGGATTTTCAAGGATTTCAGAAAACAGCAGCCCTAAAAAGATAAGAGGCTGAAAGTTATCATAAAAGTGTACGAAAATTATATAAACTTGGTATAGATTTTCCCCAAAAAATAATAATACCCACCGCATGAGCCGTATGGTATAGTTTCTTAATAATACTCCTCATAAAGAAACGTAATGTAGTAGAAAATACGTGTGAAGCTAGATTTTGGGTCCTTGACCAAACAAACCCCATTAAAGATCTTATTAAGCTCTGCTTCCAAGAAGTTTAATGAGCGGACAAAGTTAAATAAGCGCAATAAGATAAAGAAAATCCATAATGAGAGTTGGCAATGTCAGTTGCTAGCTATCACTAACTATAATTAAACCACTACAATACACAGACATTAAATTAATTTAAAGTTAATGAATGTAAAAGTGAGAAAAGGAGAAAAAGGAAAAGAAAATAGTAAAAGGAACGAGTTTTTAATGATTTTACGGTGGCAGTGGCGGTGGTTAATCATCAAGAGCTCTCTTTTTGATGCAAGCGTGGGTATAAATCCAGCACCTTTGCCATTACTCCTCTCTTTCACTCTCTTTTCAAATGTACAGATGCCCATCTTCGAATTTCTCTCTCTACGGCTTAAAGTCTTAAACTTTCTTCTATTTCCGTAGCTGTTGTAGTGTGTTTGTGTATGGTGAGAGTGTATGTGTGGCAGTGTGTAGCAGAGACTGTGAGCTAAAAAAAGCAGAGGACGGATTTCAACAGAATAGACTACAGTGTCCAGAAATTCAATAAAGTTTCGTTTTTGAGCGGTAAAAGGCTTGAAAGAAGAGCAGGAGTACTAAAGTAGCACAGAATCTGAAATGGGTATCTTTCTCTTGCCACTTTTAGCTGGGATTTTTCTCTCTCTTTCTCTGCGATGTTCCACTCTGACTAGGGTTTTGAATGGGCTATTTATTGTCCTGAAATCAATGTTCTTTTGTTTGTTTATTTGACTGCTTCTATTTGAACCTTTTGCAGCTTTCTTTGAACTCTCTTTTCTGAGTTTCTTTTGTCTTGTGGTTGTGTTCTTTCTTGTAAATTTGGTTCACTTCTACTTCACTCGTTGGGTAGCGTTGGAAATGATTGCAATTCAACTCCTTTGATCTTTGATACATATTTTGGAATCTGGGATTTTCAGTACAGCATTGTTTGAGGTTTTAAGCCAATTAATTGAAGCGGGTCTTTCTAGTTAGCTATTCATGTTTGCTTTACTTTAGATAATTCTTTTTATTTTGATGAATTGAGTTTTTGGAGGAATATCTTTACACCACTTTGAATTCTGAAGTTCCTTATATTGTAAGTTCAAACTTTGTGATCTTTGTTGAATCTTGTTAATGAAGCTATTTGACAATAAATGTTAGGAAACCAAAATTTGCTTTATTAGATTTCTTTTTGTAATTTTAAGCTTCTTAAGTCGGTCTTTATCTCTTTGAAATTTGGCTTTATCATTTTGATCAATGAGGATACTTTGGGAGTGGTTAATTTTGAGTTTCACTTTTTGTTGTTCTAGATTTCTATAAAACACAATTGTGAGAAGAGGGTATCTACTGTTGGCTGTTTTAGCAGTTCTTGTCAAGAAGTTGGAAATGGGTGACAAGGATAAATTTGAGCTGGAGAAGAGGAGTGATAATAATCTTAACTACCATTCACCTGGTAGTATGGCTCAAGACTGGAGATTTAGCAGTACCAATATCACAAATTCATCTTTGGGTTTGGTTTCCACTGATAATCAGATGCCAGCATGTAGAGGAGATCTGGTTGGTGTTTCTTCTTGCTCTTCTGCTTCAATGGTGGACTCATTTAGCCCAGGCCTGTGGGACCACTCCGCAAATTCACAGAACTTGGGGTTTTGTGACATTAATCTCCAAAGTAATGCAAGCACTTCAAACCCAATAGGAATTAGAAAAGGCGGTCCCGGCTCTTCGAGAGGTGGCATCGATAAAATGCTGGATATGGGTTGGACTTCACCAAGCTCCATGCTTAAAGCTGGCATGTTCTTGCCCAGTGTTCCTGGGGTGCTCCCTCAGAGCTTATCTCAGTTTCCTACTGATTCTGCATTCATTGAGCGAGCTGCAAGGTTTTCGAGCTTCAATGGTGGAAATTTTAGTGATATGGTAAACCCTTTTGGAATTTCTGAGTCTATGGCTCTTTATTCTAGGGGTGGGGGTATGATGCAAGGACCACAAGAGATTTTTGCAGGTAGTGGTTTGAAAGCAGTGTCTGGTGGACAAAGTCAGAAGAATGTTATGAATCTGGGTGAAGGTTCTAAAGATGCTTCTTTGTCTGTTGAACATGTGGCCATTGGAGGGAGCCCACTCAAGAATGAGAGAAGAAGTGAGAGCCTTGTGAGATCTCACGATGAAGCAAAACAAGCTGTTGGTGGGTCTGGTAATGACTCTGAGGAAGCTGAATTCAGTGGTGGTGGTCATCAAGATGAGCCATCGATGTTGGAAGGAAATGGTGGGGAATTGTCTGCTAAGAGCTTTGGCTCAAAGAAAAGGAAAACAAATGGGCAGGTAGGAACTTCACTTGCAAACTGGTACCTTATTTTTTTGGCACCGCATTTTTTATAACATGCAATTTTTTCCCTTGGTTATAGGATACTGAGCTTGACCAGACCAAGGGAAGCCAACAGTCTGTTGAAGCTGCAAAGGATAACACTGAAGTTCAACAAAAGGGAGACCAAAATCTGAATTCAGCTTCCAATAAGACTGCTGGAAAACAGGGTAAACAAGGATCTCAAGCTTCAGATCCACCGAAAGAAGAATATATTCATGTTAGAGCTCGAAGAGGTCAGGCAACAAATAGCCATAGTCTGGCAGAAAGAGTAAGATTCTATACTAACTATTTAATTAGTTGAATCAACTTTTACTCCACTGTTTGGGCTATAGTTGATTGGTTCTGGCTACAGGTGAGGAGGGAAAAAATTAGTGAAAGGATGAAGTATCTACAAGACCTTGTACCTGGTTGCAGCAAGGTTTGTTTAATTGATGGCTTAAGGACTGTGGTTGAGTTGTCTATGTAATTAAAATGCTTTTATGGTTCATATGATTAACATCAATTGAATTTTTCAGGTCACAGGCAAGGCAGTGATGCTAGATGAAATTATCAACTATGTGCAATCATTGCAACGGCAAGTTGAGGTGTGGTGGTGATAATATGTTTCATTTTTCCTTCCTATACTTGTTTAGTTCTTAACTAGTCCAATGCATTTTGGGAATAATTCAATTTCAGCAACAGTTATGTTTGGATACTTGAGATGGATAACATTGTACTACTCATGCCTTGATAGCTTATGGGTTTTGTCAGGAGACCATGCTTTTGATAACATGATAAAATAGTTTTTGAGTTTGAAACTTTTATTTGACTTTTTTAATCAATATTTTATCTTTTCTTTATAAATTGACTGTGCTTCTGCTGAGTTAAAATTAATTTGCCTTTTTTTCCTGTCCTTTTTCAGTTTCTGTCAATGAAACTTGCAACAGTTAATACAAGGCTTGATTTTAACTTAGAAGGGCTCCTTGCAAAAGATGTAAGTGAATATAGGTTTTGTTTACATCAACCTGTCAAGGCGAGGGCTGGCCTATGAATCATTCAAATTCAAGTTACTCAAGTATGCACTCAAGTTTGTGTGTGTTATCCTGTTCCTTTAATATATTGGATTGTGCTTGTATGTGCAGATCCTTCATCCGCGAGCTGTTCCTCCATCATCTCTGGCATTTTCACCTGAAATGCCTATAGCTTATCCCCCATTTAATACATCTCAACCAGGTCTTATTCAAGCCTCTTTTCCTGGCATGGAGACCCATTCTGATGTACTCCGAAGAACCAATAATTCCCAACTGACACCGATGACTGGAGGATTCAAGGAGCCTACTCAGGTAAGACGTGCTCCATTTCTGGATTTTTATTTCCTGATGATAGTTTTACTCGTTTAGCATTCTGAAAACCATAGTAGCAATATTATTTTGGATCAAAGGGTTTTTAATTGGCATGAACTTGACTGATTTTTCGAATATGAGACTGTTGGATTCTAGGACACTAGTATTTAGGAGTAAATATGAACTTAGGGATGTGTAGATACACTAGCAATCAAACAGCTTATAGAAAGTATTTATATTAAGTATTAACTTCATGCTTAAATTCTATATATTTACCAGCTGCCTAATCCATGGGATGATGAGCTCCACAATGTTGTCCAAATGGGCTATGTAACAAGTGCTTCACAAGATAGCCAAGATATAAACGGTATACTTGTTCATTTTACCCAATCAACCTTTTGAATGCTATATAAGCTAAACACTTCTAGGCTGAAAACAAAAAATTGTTATCTTTGTTGCAGGATCACTGCCTCCAGGCCACATGAAAGCTGAACTTTAACGATTCATCTTGCTTTTTTATGTGACACAGTAGGCTTTCACCACTAATTTCGAGGATGAGAAGCACGGTAGAGGAGAATCGCATCAAATTATCCAGATACAAAGCTTGGAGGGGATGAGTTGCTCTGAAGCAAGGTTTTGAGAGCTCAAAGGATCGATTGCATTATCGATGCAGAGAGTTGACCTTTTGCCTTGATGATTCTTACTTGTCTTTGGATGCCATACCGGTCGCCGTGCTATGAGCTTTAAATACTAGATTCCCAGCAAACTGAAAAAAGTCTGTCATTGGATAGGAATCTCCTGGACTGATGAATGCAAGAATGTAATGTATAGATTGATACTCCTAGAATCTCATGGATATAGGCTAACAGGGAAGCTCATGTATTATCTGAAATGAAAATGAGCTTTGTAATTTATAAAACAATGAAAACTATGGTGGCATTCTGTTAATATATGTTTCAATTACGTATATAGTACTTTGATAAATATTAAGTACCAATACCTAGAGGACTGGGTTACTAACAAAAAAACAATACACGTTTGAAGCAAATGGTTGTTTCTTAGTTTTGTTTTTGGGTTTTGTTCTTCAATTGTAAGGAATAAATGACATCATCAATATATATTATTTAGTAGCTTAAATTAGAAAAATAGGTTACTATGAAATAATTACATTTGATAAAAAGTGCTGAGAATAAAATAAGAGAAGAAAGGCGGAGATGATTTGTTCAAGTGTTAAGTGTGACATGTTGATGGAATGATGTTCTATGTTGTTAAACAATGAAGAAGTAAACTTACAACAAAGAAATAAATTGCTTTACCAACTAAAATTTATGATTTACTACTGTTACTTCCTACGAAGAATTAAAAAATGATTAAATACCTCAATTTTAACAAAAATGGTAATTATCTAGACTACTCTTTAATTAATTTTCATTTAATTGAAACAAAGTCTATGACATATATTTAGATAAAGCTAAAATTTGAATAAAATAATTAATACTATTTTTATTTTCTAAAAGTGCGATTTAAATTTTAAAAATTATCAAATTTAACATAACTACAAAGACATGGCTAAAAATTCATTAAAAAGTCAAAATTAATATATTTTCTTGATGCATTTAACTTGACTTGAAAATAATCCAACATAAAAAAAGTGTAAAATTTACTTTTATTATATAGTATAAAAAAATGTATTGATGATTCCATCATACATGATTAAGTTGCGAAAACTTCTGGATAGGTATCCTACATTTGAACTGAATTCTTTTTGGTTAAAGAATCTCTTTCTAGTTGCTCTGGAACAATTAGGAGATTTTCTAGAAGTAATGTGGGGTTTTGCTTCCGGCGGCAACATGCTATGGAATATTTAAATTTGACATTTTTAGATACCTTTTTGGACCTATTACCGATACTAAGTAGCAGTAAAAAATTTATATCCATTTTTCATGATATTATGTATGGATAAGATATATTATGGCGAATTCTTAAGAGAAAATGGTGTCTTCCACAATGGAATTTGATAAGTGAGATTTCGAGTAAGTGTTTACATAATCTTCTTCTATCCGAAGAAATGATTCATCGAAATAATAATCCACCATTGATATCGCTAAATGTTCGGGAGTTCCTCTATTCAATCCTTTTCCTTCTTCTTATTGTTGAATAAAATAATTCTTAATAGATGAAGCAATCGTCACTCGACAGCTTGAAAGCGAATCAATACAAACCCACGTCATTTGTATTCACTTACGTATCACGCGATGTTTCTCTTTTCTCACATTAAATGGAACCCCATTATTATTATTTACAAAAAAATTTGTGTGTGGGGCTTTTCTTTACCACGTAACCGGCAATCCATTACTTCGTAGACCCAAAGTTTAACGGATCACATCGGCAGTCAAAAAAAAAAACACCAACTTCTTCCCTTCCCGCCAAAAAATCACTACTGGTGACAACAGAAGAAAACAAACGCGATGTCCAATGTCTCAAATCAATACAGCTCCTTACTGAAATTCTGTTGCGAAACCCGAAACCAGAAACAGGCCAAGAAGCTCCATTGTCACATAATCAAGACGTTAATGAATCCAGAACCCTTTTTATATAATAATCTCATTAATACATATAGCAAACTAGGAAACCTAAAATATGCACGCCACTTGTTTGAAGAAATGTCCCAACCGAATCTTTTTTCATGGAATACAATCCTTTCCGCTTATTCGAAATCTGGGCATCTCTCGAAAATGAAAGAGATCTTCAATCTCATGCCAAGCAGAGATGGGGTCTCTTGGAACTCTCTTATTGCAGGGTATGCCTGTTATGGTTCGGTTGCCGAGGCAGTTAAGGCTTATAACTCGATGTTGAGAGATGGATTTTTTAATTTGAATAGGATTACATTTTCAACCATGCTTATATTGGCGTCAAGTCAAGGTTGTGTCGATTTGGGTAGGCAAATTCACGGGCAAATTATGAAATTTGGTTTTGGAGCATATGTTTTTGTGGGGAGTCCTTTGGTGGATATGTATGCAAAAATGGGCTCGGTTTATGAGGCAAAGCAGGTTTTTAACGAGATGCCAGAGAGGAATGTGGTAATGTATAACACAATTATCACGGGGCTTTTGCGATGTGGTATGATAGAGGAGTCGAAGAGGCTGTTTCAAACTATGAAGGAAACAGATTCCATTTCATGGACAACAATGATTACAGGGCTTGTGCAAAACGGATTGGGGGGAGAAGCTATTGATTTGTTTAGACAGATGCGACTAGAGGGTCTGGCTATGGATCAGTATACGTTTGGCAGTGTGTTGACTGCTTGTGGGGGACTAACTGCCTTAGAAGAGGGCAAACAAGTTCATGCCTTTATAATTAGGAGTGATTATAAGGATAACATCTTTGTGGGTAGTGCACTCGTTGACATGTACTGCAAATGTAAAATTATCCGTTATGCAGAAACAGTTTTCAGAAGAATGACACATAAGAATGTTGTGTCATGGACTGCATTGTTAGTGGGTTATGGCCAAAATGGATTCAGTGAAGAGGCTGTCAGGATCTTTTGTGACATGCAGAGAAATGGGATTGATCCAGATGATTTTACTCTAGGAAGTGTAATAAGTTCATGTGCAAACCTAGCTAGCTTAGAAGAAGGTGCCCAATTTCATTGTCGAGCCCTTGTTTCTGGCTTGATTTATTTTATAACAGTCTCCAATGCACTTGTTACTTTATATGGTAAATGTGGAAGCATAGAAGATTCCAATCGCTTGTTCAATGAGATGAACTTTAGGGATGAAGTCTCTTGGACAGCATTGGTTTCAGGGTATGCACAGTTTGGAAAAGCCAATGAGACAATTGAATTGTTTGAAAGAATGCTAGCCAATGGTCTGAAACCTGATGCTGTTACATTCATAGGGGTTCTTTCAGCTTGCAGTAGAGCGGGATTAGTGGAAAGAGGACAGAAATATTTTGAATCAATGCTGAAAGAACATAGAATAAGTCCTGTTCCTGAACACTACACTTGTATGATTGACCTTTTTAGTCGAGCTGGAAAGTTAGAAGAAGCCAAAAGTTTTATCAATAAGATGCCTTTCCATCCTGATGCAATTGCTTGGTCCACTTTGCTCAGCTCATGCAGACTGTATGGTAACATGGAAATCGGGGAATGGGCAGCTCAGTCACTTCTGGAACTAGAGCCCCAGAACCCTGCAGGTTATATCTTGCTCTTGAGCATCTATGCTGCTAAAGGAAAATGGAACGATGTGGCTCACTTAAGGAGAGGAATGAGAGAAAAGGGAGTCAGAAAGGAACCAGGATGCAGTTGGATAAAATATAAGAGCAAAGTTCACATTTTCTCTGCAAATGACCAGTCTAGTCCATTTTCAAATCAGATATATGCAGAGCTGGATAAATTAAACCAAAAGATGATAGAGGAGGGGTATGTGCCAGATGCACGTTCAGTTCTTCACAATGTTGTCGAGTCAGAGAAGATACAGATGCTTAACTACCATAGTGAGAAGCTTGCAATTGCTTTTGGGTTGATATTTATTCCTCATGGCCTCCCCATACGAGTAGTTAAAAATTTGAGAGTATGTGTGGACTGTCACAATGCCACTAAATATATTTCTAAGATAACTCAGAGAGAAATTCTTGTAAGAGATGCTGTTCGGTTCCATTTGTTCAAAGATGGAACATGTTCATGTGGGGATTTCTGGTGATATGGTTCTTGTACTTTTCTAAGTTGTTGTATTACATCTAAGATCACCCAGAGAAGAGAAGTGACCCAATATCTATGATTATGCTGCCACATAGGCATATCACTGGACCACTTGTGTGCTTTGTTACTGGATCAATAATTCTGCAAGACTGCAAGATATCGGTCATAATGTTAAACAAAGTGCAAATTTGATGTCAAGGATCTTCTACTTAAAAGCATTGGTACGTCTGCCTCAAAACTGTGCCCTTCGCATGTCATTTATTTCCCTTTTCAATAGTTTGTCATATGACAAATCAGCTGACTTTCATGTCACCTATGTTCTGTTTACTTCTCCAAGGAACTTTGGCTTCTATCCTTAATTCATGAAATGAAACTTTTTGACATAGAGTTGACTATACAAAAACATATTTAACAGCTGTACATGTATATCAGATAGCAGTGTACAACATAGTTCGTTGATTTGGATTCAGATGCTCATGGCAGCTGCAAGCTGCTGGTATGGACGTGTTATGGACAAATGTTGATATTAATTGGAAAAAAAATTTTCTTAATGTTTTCTTGATCGAAACAGTTGATATCATGCATTTGTCATCTGTTTCTTAAAGATGTTCTCTTAGAGAGCTGGTGACTCTATTCATGTGATTTGATCAATAAAAGTTATAATTTTAAAGGAAAGAGCATTTCCTTTTCGGTAGCAGAACTTATTAAAATATCTTTTCAATTGATGCAAGATCTGAAGTCTAGTACTGTTCACATTACTGTATGTTACTATTCACACCACTGTAGCAGTTTTCTGATTTATGGTTATTTCACGCATTAACTAAGTTAGACTTTATTTAAATTAATCAAGTCCTTCAATTAAATTTATTATTTTGGAATTTATTCTAGTAGGATATTGTGTTTAGTCCTTATTCTACTTTATTTCACCAGGATTATACCGTTGGTATATAGGGCTATAATTTGTAGTTTTAAGGGCAGATTTCAGATTTTGAGTAAATATTAAGATCGGCTCTGGTTTTTTATTTTTCCATGTCATGTAACCAGAACTTCCAGCCTGTTTTGGTTGATAATTTGATCTCTTTTGTCCTTTTTTTATTCAACATTCTCTTGTCAAATCTATCTAATTTAGGATTAGGATTTTTTTGCTACGTCATCGATGCAATCATGCAAAGTAATCCGAGTTGCATCGTAACAAAAGAATCCTAAAATTGACCTCCTATTGCATTACCCTGGTATTAGATACTCACTGCATTCTGAAGTTACCCCCAATCAAAACCCTGGCACAAAGATTTTTTTTTCCTTTTTTAACATAAGCAAAATATCACATAAGAACAAAATAACCGGAGCATCTTTCTGTCTAAAATTACAAGGAATATATATATGTAAAATGTAAATATGAAGAACACAAGGATAATTAGGACCTTCTTCTTTTATTCCTTTGTTGTTTTTATGGACTCCTCTTGACTTTGTTTCTGGCTCTGCATCAGAGGAAGTCAAGTTGTTTAAAGTAAATGCATGCTGGATAGCAACTCATTATGGGATTAGCAAAGCTAACAACATACCTGCAACTGGCTACAGATCCCAATTACTTCAGCTGGAGGGGCCCAATCACCAAAGTTCCTTTCAATAAACTGGTATGCAACGCCACTCTTTCCTCTGCCAACCACAAAGAGTCCACCTTTAATTTCTCCTTCCCCTTTGAAGTTTTGCTTTATTCCCATAGCTTTTGCCCGCTTGTAATTTGCAATGGCTCTTGGGTTGAAAATAAACCCCGATACAAACTTGTCCTTCAGGAGTTGTCCGCCTCCAAGAGCTTTGAAAAATCCCCTATCCCGATCATAGAGTACAACACCACCCCAATATCGAGGCCAGAAGTCCGTTACCTGCATGACAACAATAGCAGTAGTACATCAAATGAGGTATTTATTGAATGGCAAGATGTCGAAATTTCAACGATTACCTCTGACTCTATATATTCATGGAGAACTGCAATCAGTTGAACTCCTAGAGCATCGAACATTGGTTTCTTGGCATACAGCTGGTGAGCTTCAGCTCTGCACATGATGCACCTGTTTCAAAAATTCAAGAAATGCAAAGGAAAAAATGTCAGTTTCGCCCCTCAATATTATTTCCGTCTATGCTTAAAATTTGATTGTGTTATTCAGGAATCAGGACTGGAAGATATTCAAGTCTTATATCTGTCTGTATATGGGTTCCTGAATTATTTTGTTAAATATCTATCCGTTGTCACCAAATCTGGGTGCTCGTCACATCTTAGTGTTTATACGTTACCAATTCTTTTAGTTGAAATTATGTTACTGTTGATAAAAATGGGCTATCTACAAAAAAAAAAAAAAAGAATATGGGTCCTGAATTAATTTTGTTAATATCTATCAGTTTGGGTCACCAAATCTGGGTGCTCGTCACAATTTAGTGTTTATACGTTACCCCAATTCTTTTATTGAAATATTTACTGTTGATAAAATGGGCTATCTACAAAAAAAAAAAAGCATGCCTATAAAAAAAAAAAAAAAAAAAAAGCATGCTATAAAGCAGAATATTAGTGTTTACCCAGGACGTCTAATGCAGAGGAGGACTGCTGGTTTATCTTGCCATAATTCTGAGGCCTTCATCGGGGGTGACCGGGTTTTCACCAAGCGTTCCATCCCAATTTTGTACTCAGGAGTTAATTTCTCAACTGATATCTTCTCAATAAAAGAATAAGGAGCAACTTCATCAACAACTGGAGGAGGTTGTACACAGCCGCATGCTCGAGCTTCAGCTGGCCCAGCAGCAACGATCCCTTTAAAGATGTATCCATCTTTAATTTTGAAATCAGCCAGTGACTGTTGAAGTGATTTATCATAATTTATACTACTAGGGGAAAATTTTGATGTGCTCTGCATGTTTTTTGACTTGACAGATCCAAGACTCTTGTAAATGCTATCGTTTCCAGATGTTGCGCTGGTAATTTTCTTTGCAGTTTGGTTATATGTTTTGGGCAAAGGTTCTGCACATGCATTGCTTCTATCTGTGAAACGGGCAATGTGTCCCCTCTTCATCCCAAACTGAGTAGAAAGATCTCCACTGCTCAAGTTCAGAAGCTCAGGCAAACATTTCTCGGATGCCTCTAGCTTATCTCCATACTGCATTAGAGCACGATCGTGCAGGTAAGATCTTACTTCCAGCGCATCCTGGAATGACAGAAATAGAATAGAATGTCAGAAATTGATTAGCTTTTATCACAAAAATTTGAGAAAACAAAAATTAAAGCTAATTATGTGAAACCAACCTTTTGCCTTCGTGTCATGTTTATTGAATCCATATCCTCTGAGTTCATAATCTTCAGGGTTGGTACATCATCCCAGCCATCTTCTAATAACTTTGGTAGCAGTTCCTTCAAAACTCCATTCCCTACAAAATCCTCCATTGAAAAAGAAGCCATTTTCCTTTACAGTAGAGAAGAAACTGTATTATTGTTGTTAGGCCAACTGTATAGACATAAAACAGACCCTAAACATAAATACACAAAACTGTAATGAGTATGCTGTGATAATGATTTGCTTAACCTTCTGTCTATATAAAGCCTCCATAGGCTTCAATGGAAATAATAATAATAATAATAATAATAAACTACAGACCCATTGCCTTAATGAAAAGTCCATTTTGAAATTCAGAAATCAGTAGCTGAAGAATTGGTATGTGTTTGATCAATTTTTTTGTTGTTATTATCTTATTTAAATTAAATATACAAAAAATTATAACTTATATTTTTGGACATTAGACAAGATTTGGTATCTGGTGGATTTGATTTAGGAAAAATATACCAAAAAAAATGATGGCTACAATCCAAAACCTAGAAACAACATGATGAGTGGCAACATTTTGCTTGGAGACAGTCAAAAGATGCTAAGAAAGAGATTGAGGGGAAACAAGAAGGTTTAAATAAAAAGGAGCAAAATATTAAGGCAATCAATTTCCAAAGGACTTGAAAAACTAATAAGATTGTTTATTGTAAATGATGTTACTTAACACATTGATTACAATTGTGGATGAAATCTATGGCCGGCCAAAACCAGCCTAAATTTTATATGATGCATATTGAAATAAATAAACTCCTTTATCCAACTTTCATAGGCAATATTTTTTTATGTACTGTCTGTATCATCCAATACTGTAGGATTGTTTGTAAATGAAGGATATCTCATATATCTATCATTTTTGCAAACAATGTCCAAGTGGATGATCTCCCTTTCAATTGTTGATGTTGTTGCTGTTGTTTATTTCTTCTGGTTTTGATCATTTCTTGAATTTTTTGTCTTTTTCCCAGAAAATAAACGAATAGGTTTCTATATTTGAAAGTGGTTTGTATACTCCAGAAAATAATAAAAATCTCCACGTGTTCTTCTGCAGAGTTTATGGGCTTATGCTAGTATGACTTTTTATAAAACATTTTCTTCAATCTGAACTTCCCATAATTGGAATTGATATAGAGAAAAAAGAAACACAGAAAATTTTGTAGCTTAGCGTTATAAAAATTAAAAAACGAGTTCTTCCTTTGGTTTGCTAATTCTCAAAATGAAAATCATATTGCAGGTTTCCTGCAACATTTGTTTTTATTGGAAAATGGAGATGGAGAGGAAAAATCAAAACCGTAAACACAAAAACAACTAATGTAGCAGAAATTTAACAAGCAAAAACAGAGTTTACAGTAAAAAACAAAGATTTTTTTCTTCTCTCTCTCTCTTTTTCTGCATAAATTCTTATAACTCTCCTCTCCTAATTTGTCTTTTTCTATCTACTACACTTTTATTTTCTCTCTTTTCACTCATATTTTTGTCTTACTTGCATTAGCTTATATAGAAACTAGTTCTATAAACAAGCCAAGACTAACTTCCTATGATTTAAGAAAGTTCATCTCCATGTCTAAAGCTCAAAATAAGCTCAATCATACACATACATACATCTAGAAAGAACTCAACTACCAAAAGATTTTTAGCAGAAATCAGCAATCAAAAACTTTAAAACAGACAAAATGTCACAGCTCCAACAGTTTTGAATGGATGAACCTGCCATGGTAGCATTCCCATAATGAATCCAAATCTCTGAAAATGACAAAATTGATCATAGAACTCATATTTAAAATACTTGACTAGCTAACACTATAGTTTATTAGGATTTTTATAAGAATTTGGCTGCACTTAAGAGCAGTAGCAAATACATGGCGTTTATACTTTACAAGGTATAGTTGGAAGTAGGAAACTTGGGCACCTTGTTCAAAAGCCTCAAGATTTTTTCGGCCATGTCCCTTGTATTACCATTCCCGTGATGAAAAGCACTGATTAAAGTGGCAGGCAACAGCCTATCCTGTGATATCTCTGAAGCAGACTTGTCACCACCTTTCATTAAGAATCTCTCAATAATCCAAAAAGATTTTTGCCACAAACCTTCTTCTTTATGCTCTTTTAGAATGTTCAGAACATGGCGTATAGCATTCGCTTCACTCAATATGCTAACACTCTTGTTCACGTCAACTTTGTCATCTAACAAAGTACATACAGCTGATAATGCAGCCTCAACAACCTCAACATTCTCATGGTCCAAACAAGCCAATAACCTATCCACCACCTTTGCATCAACCAAACAGAAAGTATTTTGTGAGGAACAAGAGCCTTTGTGGACTGGACATATAGGTAATTTCCTTTTCTTTGAAGAACTAAAAGATAGGAAGTTGGGTAAGGCTTGCTTCCAGGATTTTTTTTTCCTTATATGTGGGGGGTTTGATAAATTTATTGATTCTGCCGAGAGATTTTCCAGGCCAATTGCTGATAATCTCTGAACTTCATCACTTGATGTTCTCATTAGCAATTCTGTGAATACCAATGTGAAGTTGTAGTTTCTTGCTAGAGACAATATCTCAGGTTCATAAAGTGTTGTAGTGAATCTGACTAAAATAGCCACTAGACCTTCTAAGTAAGCACTTGCATACCTGCTTGTTCTAGTTCCAGTTGTCTGGATTTGATTGATAGTTTGTAGGATTGAAGGGACTGCATTCTGTCTCAGTAGAGCTAGATTTAGTGTTAGATTCTGATGGGGTAGTTTAGCAAGAAATTTTGTTGAAACTGCCTGTCTTTCTGTGATTTGGTTTGAAGTTTGGCATAAGAGTAAGTTCTTAGGCTGACCTCTTGTCTTGCATAGTCTCTCGACAAGTGTGTGCCCCATGTGAGCTGAGAGTTCAATAAGTAGCTTGATTGCTGCAACTCCAAGCTCCTCATGAGGGTTATTAATGAGCTCTATCAAAGTGTAGCTTGCTACAGTCTCTTTGACCACTGATACTATAGTGTCAATAGAATTGGGCAACTTCATAAGGGATAAAAGAATTCTTATAAGGTTGATATTAAGTTCCTCGGAAGTTGAGTTGTTGATCATGTGGATGAAGTTGTACAAAACATAATCTGAAGTTAGTTTGTGCCCATGAGAGTTTACTTGGAGATTCTCAAGCTCAAGTCCAGTCTCAAAAATATTTGCAAGAATAGCAGCAGCTTCATTTTTTGAGTTCATTGGTTCATTGGAGATCCTCCGAGTGAACATCTCTTCAACCATGACTTGTATGATTCCAGCTTTTGTTAATATTTTGGCACCTGGGGAATAAGATGAAATTTGTGCTAGAGCTTTAAATGCTGCACGTCTGGTCAAAGTGTTTCCTCTGTGCACCATTTGGATGAGTGCTGGAGAAGCTGTCTCAGCAACATAAGTTTTGCTGTCATTTCCAAGGGTGATTTCCCCAAGGTAGCTTGCCATTTCCATCTTTATCTCCTCAGAACCTGTTTATATGTTGCGTTCGAATCAACATAACCATGATTAAAGTAGATGTTACTTTTTAGTTTTATACTAATTTGGAGTTTCTAAAGTTACCTTGATTTAGATGATTTAGAAGGGGTTCCAAGAGTCCATTTTCCGCCATGTGCTTGATATTTTCTGGAGATCGCTCTAAGTTCTTTAAGGTTTCATCTGCCTTTTCTGAAGAGAAGGCATCAACGGCCAGATCGTATTTATTTCTGATCAGCATTAGAATTCCCCCTGGAACTGACCCAATTTTTTGACACAATGATCGAGACTTTGACAACTCAAGTAATAGAAGCAATGCTGCATGCCTTATGGGCTTGTGACCACTTGACAACATCTTGATTACAGTTGAAATATCCACAATATTAGCGATCATTTCCTGCAACAAAAAACAATCAGATGATATATTTTCGGTAAATTATCAGAGGTTTTTTTTTTTTTTTTCAAAAAGAGAGAGAGAGAGAGAGTTAAACCTTGTCATCATCCTCATCTGACAATTGTCGTAATAGTTCCAGCACTGCACATCTAACATCTCTATCTTTGTACTCAAGTAACTTAACAAGCAGTTGCAGTATTCCAACATTATAGATTTGAATCTTACTGTACCGGTTCCTTGCACAGATGCCTTGCAAATCTCTTATTGCTTCAAATACCATACTTGCTGAACTAGCTAGAGACAAAGCTGTACGACAAACCTTGATCTTTGCTGCCTCATTTCTTGCTTCCCACTCCTCTATTGTGGTCTTGAGAGCTATATTAGGTCTTAAAATTCTACTCAACAGCTTCTGCCCTGTGATTGGACAGAAAATTTCGTCCGAGTTTTTGAATTCTTTAAACCACTCTACAATTGCATTTCTTTCATAGGTCACTCCACTTTCTATATTCACTGGATCATCCATCACCTGCTTTGTTAATGGACAGTAGAAAGTCTCATATAGGGGTTCTGCATACTCAACTGTTTGTTCCCATGCTAATGAGGACTTGCTTCTGTTATTGTTACTTTTGCTGCTAAGCCTTTTCTTTTTTATAAACTCAATCAAGCATGGCATATTGAAGGCCTGGTAATTATCTGTGGAATCTTCAACATTGATGGAGTACAAATCTGATTCTATTTCTTCATTTTTTTCCTCTATGGTTACTTGAGTCTGCGACTCTTGAGCTTGACTGACTTCAAAGTGCACTTGCTGCATTTCATCTGAAAGAGACTGAACTGCAACTTGTGCATAGCTTTGGTTCTGAAATGTTGATGAAGGTATTAAGCTCAAACATTCTCCCATGTGTTTTATCACCTCCTCCAGCTGTTTTATGGTGCTTTTCAGTTCAGAATCAGATGTTGAACTGTTGCATCCTAGGGATTTGTTTACGAGATCTTTGGCTGCATTAATTTCGCCGGACAGCGATTGCAGGATCTCCATGGCATTTTCTGGGGTATTTTCACTAGTCTGCAACTCCATTATGGATGGACAGAGTCGGTAAAAGTAGCATCCAATTTCAGCAAAAGTTTCTTGCTCTGCTGTTATTTGTGCTGCAGATTCTATTATCCTGAAAACTGATGCCACCAAGAATTCAGAAACACTAGCAATAGGACTATTGACCTGGAGAAAAGAACAAAAACATTAACACAACATTTTGGCATTTAGTTAGTGATTTGCAGATTTAAGAACTTGTTGCTGCTAATAGATGCTTGATTATTGTGTTTCGATACTAGATAATAAATAAAAGGGAAAAAGCACTTCGAAGCTCATACCGACATCCAACCGGAGCTTCTGCTACTGCTGCCTTACTCTTCTGTAAAATTTTTGACAACTTACTGTGGCTGGAGAAGACATTAATAGCATTAGCATAAGTTTTCTGTTTAAACAAAAACTGTGAATTAGTCATTGATAGTTTGCTTGCTGTATTTATTAAGTATATAATTTGATACTAAACTGCAATACCTCTCAAGTAATCCTTTTCCATATAGGTGATGATGCATTTAAGTTTGACAAAATGAGTTGACCGAGTCAAAGACGGTAAAACTTTTATGTGATTAGTTAAAGGTTACTGTCTGATTTTCACAAATCAACTTAAGGAAGAAACCTGTCAATTCTCCATTTACATCAACAAATAAATGCCACATGGAAATGGTCTTTATTTTCTTTTTTATACTGTAAATGAATTTTCAAGATTTTTTTAGACTAGTAAACCTAATTGGTTTACCAAACTTATTTACCTCTATTTTTAAATTTTAACATAACTCATGACAAAATCAATAAGCTATAGGTGACAAATGTAATCTTTAATCTGCTTCTTCTGGATATATATATATAATTGACTCTATACACAAAAACTGGAAGGTGAATGCCCAGAAAAATTCAACTCAATTAAACCTTAATTCTTAATTATTGGATTATAGGACAACTTGCCTAATGTCTTATTCAAGAGGTGTCTACCCGTAAATATTCAACTGAAAATAAACCTTACGTCTATATTATTAGGTGGGATACTTGCTTAATCTTTAATTCCAATACAAGAATTTGAACTTTTTGGTTTGTTGAAGCTGAAACCATTGGGTTTGAGATAAAAATGTCAGTTTTTCAGATCAACCCTCCTAGAGAAAAATAAATTAGGTCGAGGTTTAAGAAAAAAATATTAAAAAAAGTTTACGTGTCAAGGCGTGACATTCCTGTAAATGGGATTCAGAAACCAGTAGAGGGAGGTTGAAACGAGAGAGATGGAGTTAGAAAAGACGAGAAACCATTTGTTTGACGTGGCATCATATTACTGGTTTAGTCCAGGGATTATGGGGTCTGCCTAGCCAGCCATAGTAAGATAAGTCTGCCAAACTCAATCTAAAAGACAAGATTCTGAAAAGAAATAAACAAATCATAAAAATTTTGACTAAACCCGACCCAATTTAACTGTAGACTGTCTGAAATCATGCCAGGAGAACAATATTAATTTGATAAATAGAAATCAAATTACGTACAAAACAAGTTTGTATATCTGTCCTTTGAGTCACTAAAGAGTTGTTTTCTCTCTGACATGTATTGATAAGAATGCTAGCAATGCAAGAATGCATTATTATTAGCTTCTTATATATTAGCAAAAAAACCATCTTTTCTTCTCCAAATCCAAACCCATCTGCAAATAGTAAAAAATGAAGCTTGACAAGAAGAAATTCAAGAAAACAAGACTAACCCAAGAAACCAAAAATCAAGAATCACCATTATTACCCAAAACAGAAAGAGAAATTCAAGAATTCAATGGAGCTTCTTTTCTTGGTGCAGTGTTTAATCTTTCAACAACTATTATTGGTGCTGGGATTATGGCATTGCCTGCTACGATGAAAGTTTTAGGACTTGGGCTTGGAACTGGGATGATATTGTTAGTTGCAGTTCTAACAGAACGTTCTATAGAGATTCTGTTGAGGTACAGTAAGGCTGGGAAAGTGGATTCTTATGGTGGGGTAATGGGAGATGCATTTGGGAATGGTGGAAAGAGACTGCTTCAGGTTTTTGTGTCGCTTAACAATCTTGGAATCCTCATTGTCTACATGATTATAATTGGTATATATAATATAGTTTATCTTTTTTCTATAGGCTTGATAAGAAAAAGTTTTGAGCTTTGCTATTTTTTTTTTCTCAATTCCATGAAACTTTACAATTTATCAATTCAGCTTTTTTTTTTTTTTTTTAAATTGTATTAACTATTTAAGAGCCCTTCAAATTAAAATTATTTAAAAGTTATATGGTTTAAATAATTAAATATTTGGATTTATACGTTGAGTATAAAATTATAAAAAAATATAATGTGTTATAATTATTTGAAATCACTATATATCCAACTTCTTTTGTAGAAGAAGATAGATAGCTCATTAAAATTAATTGATAGCTCAACAACAGCTCAACAAACTTACTTCACTATATATCCAACTAGACCTTGATGGGACTCCATTAGACCTTTTTTTTCATTATCAAAAAAATAAATTTTCTAAGATTTGAATTCTAAGTTCTCTCCTAAATATAAAATAACCCCTATCCCTTTATTGGCTCCTTTTATTGCAAAATAACTGAGAAATTAGTACTAAACAAACTATCAGATAGTAATATATTTGTTTTCTTCTAAATAGAAGTTCATGTGATTTTTCTAATACAATTCAAATTTGATCAACTCATCAATCCATCATAAAATTGATTTAATTTTTTTTTTTTTTTTTTTTTTTTTTTTTTTTTTTATTAATTTCAATTTTGATATATGAAAAGGTGACGTATTATCTGGAACATCTTCAAGTGGAGTTCATCATGCTGGTTTATTGGAAGAATGGTTTGGAGACCAATGGTGGAATGGCCGTACTTTTGTTGTTCTTTTTGTGACTCTTGCTATTTTTGCTCCATTGGCAAGTTTCAAGAGAATAGGTCTATATAAACCCATGTTTATTTATAATTTTTATTTTCAATAATTAGATTTCAAGATTTTGACCTCACAATACTGGCTTGGTAACTGATTCATCTTAATTTGCACTTGCAGATTCATTGAGATACACATCTGTCTTAGCAATTGCACTTGCAGTTGTTTTCCTTGTTATTACAGCTGCAATCACAGTGTTCAAATTGGTAAATGGAAGTGTTTCCATGCCTAGATTGCTTCCTAATGTTTCTGATATCACATCATTCTGGAATCTCTTCACTGTTGTGCCAGTTCTTGTGACAGCTTTTATCTGTCATTTCAATGGTAAGTAATCTTCAAATCTTCTCAAGGGTTTTTTCTATTAGGACCTGTCATTTGGGATCACTGAACCAAACAGGTTCTTAGTCCAGTTCTTGTCTGCTTGAAGAATCATTTGTCCAATAAACTCAAGAACAGTAAATAACCTTATTTTCTGCAGTTCAAACAATTCAAAATGAGCTTCAAGACTCTGCTATGATACAGCCAGTTGTATGGACTTCATTAGCTCTATGCTCTACTGTCTATATAATGACAAGCGTCTTTGGATTTCTACTATTTGGAAACTCAACTCTAGATGATGTTTTAGCCAATTTTGACACCAACCTTGGAGTCCCTTACAGCTATATACTCAGCGATATCATTCGCATAAGCTATGCTCTTCATCTTATGCTTGTTTTTCCGATCGTCTTTTACCCACTGCGGATGAATTTGGATGGCCTTCTTTTCCCCTCAGCTAGGCCTTTGGTTTCAGATAACTGGAGATTTACATTACTTAGCATGGCAGTAATTTCTCTCATCTTCTTGGGTGCAAATTTTATTCCAAACATCTGGATTGCTTTCCAGTTCACTGGAGCAACTTCTGCAGTTTGTATTGGATTTATCTTCCCAGCTGCTATTGCCCTGAGGTGAGTAAAGTTTCGATCTTTAAACCAGAATTTCTAATGCTGCATTATCTTAATCATTTGTTCACTCAGTATTTCAAATTTCTGATCCTTTCAGGGATTCCCATTTGGTAGCTACAAAGAAAGATAAGGTTATGTCGGGGCTCATGATTTTCCTTGCTCTGTTCTCAAGTTTGATAGCTATTTATAGCGATGCCTATGCCCTGCTCAGAACGAATGCCTCCCCAAGCGAATGATTTTGCTCAAGCTTTTGATTAAGATTAGAAGAAACGCTTAGAAACCTCCTGTGCTCATATATATAGATTACCTTGTAATGTCTTTGTCCACAAGAATTACTGTTTCTGCTAGAAATTGATATGGTGCAATATACTTATTTGTTTGTCTCAGCGCAAATTAATAACTGATATGATGTTTTGGCCTGAGAAAAATGTAGGAGTTCAGGGCTACAACAAATAAGTAGTACAGTCAGAAGCTTGAGAATGATGAGAGCCTCTATTATTCATTCTTAGTATGCATTATACAGCTTTCTTTGAACTATAGAAAGTTGTCTGAAGTAATCAAAAAATACGGTAAAACAATTAGTAAAGAGTAGCAAAATACCACAAAAACACATGCTCGTCAATTTCTATGTTACTTTCCTTAAAATCAACTTTATTTTCAGCAACCTATTTCGATATGCTACTGGCAACATCTCAGAAGAGGCACAAGCACAGTGAGGCTCCACAGCTTTCACTGATCTTTGAATTTCATCAATATGATGTTCCGTTCCTCTACTGCTTGAGCTTCAATTTCCTTTGTACAAAGCCGGATTGAATGAAACAACTTGTTTGTTACCACTATCAGGGCTTCTTTCATGTTGTACTGTATGATGCGCCACCTTAGTCCTTCATTTATTTTCACAAAAGCGGACCCACTGCTGAAAGGGAAGCAGAGTCCCGAGGGAAGTATAATGGGATATCTCTGGCCAAAGGTTATATGCATTTTCTTTTGACATATGTACAGAAATAGTTGTTGGACACCCATTGTATGCACTTCTTGGGTCTCTTCTTTAGCCATTCTCCCTCAGTTAACAATGGGTTCAGTAACTGTGCATCTGACAAATGCATGCACATGGATGAACGAATACAACTATCATCAACTTTCAACTGAATGACAGAGGTATAAAGAACAATTTCGAAACAGTCAAGACCAGTATTGCTATGACTAATTGAAGAAATAGGGAGAATCCAAAACATCTCTGAGATCAAAGTCTCCTCGCTCCGGTAAGGGAGGAAATTTCAACTTAGGAAATGTCTTTTGAAAGCCCTCCAACAACTGGGTACAAACAAAGGCAATGCAATGAACTTAATAAGTAGTAATACCATAACATAGCATGGGAAACATTCACTCTCAAGAATCAATTTCACTTGATATTTACAGTAAAGATTCCAACGAGTGAAAAAGACAAAAGATAGCACTGTTTGGATAAAGAATCATAAAATGAAATTGATTATAATAAATATTTTTCCATGTAAGACCATGTGGATTTATTAGGCAATGCCTTTCTACCCCCCCCCCCCCCCCTTAAACCCATTTCATATGGGGAATAATATCTTAAGAAGCTAGTAGTTATAGAACATTTTCATAATGGGATAGAACATTCAAGTTTCATTATCATAATGGGAAAAGTAAAACCCTTAAACCCATTTCATATGGGGAATAATATCTTAAGAAGCTAGTAGTTATAGAACATTTTCATAATGGGATAGAACATTCAAGTTTCATTATCATAATGGGAAAAGTAAAACCCTTAAACCCATTTCGTATGGGGAATAATATCTTAAGAAGCATAGTAGTTATAGAACATTCTATAGGCAGAGATACTTTACATTTTCTAATATTGGCGCCTCGTACAATTCAACAAACTTTTGTCGAAGTATCCTGTTCATTTCATCAACATCACATGCATGTGTCCAGTAAGAATCATGGACTCCTGAAGATTGACATCAGGATAGAATAATAAGATTTCCACAGAAGTATATATCACTGAGTTGAAGTGAAAACCACTTGGATAGAACAAACCTGCAAAGTTCAAACCTGCTTGTTTGCAGGCAAGAGCAGTCATCATCATGTGAGAGCCATCAAGAGAGTGAACAAAATTCGGTGGAAAAGCTGTTCTTTGCCTCTTAACCATCACCTACAAATCACGAAAACAATATAATCAGAGTTAAGAGAATGTAACATGAATATGTTCCATTGCTTCTGAAACATGAAGGGAACTGGTCTCAAGAGACCTACTATTTATTGGCTTTACTACGGACTTAGTTATGAAAAAAGTAGAATGGAAATAAAGGATTCATATAGCTGACCTCAATAAGTTTAGCATAAAGTCTTATTTATTCTTACTGTTGCTTATGAATTTTCATTTCTTTGTTTTACTCTTCAAGGTTTATCTATAAGCAAAAACACATGTATACAAACAGAAGGTTGGGGGGAGTGTGGAAGAGAGAGACACTATAATCATTCAGTAACCTAGGTGCATGCAGTGCAATAATTGGAAAAAAGAAAAAGTAGTTGTGAAAAGGTCTATGAAAATTGCCTTGTCCGTTTCCCTTTGTAATGCCAGCGTCTGCAGAGATGTCTTGATCTGCAAATTATTCCCAACAAAAAAGTCTTTAAAGACAAACTTAAAATTTGTTTGGTTTTTTTCCAATTTTTTTTAGTTATTGTATAATTGTATGTGCATTTGTGTGTGTGTGTGTGTGTGTGTACACTTATATTTTTTCCCAACTTACAAGATGCCTCCCCAACTGTTTATAAGGTTGTACAACAGGAAGTCCAAGAGGAGTGGTCCATCGCACAGGTTGATTCTCTGAAGCTATTACCTGTTTATGTTCCAAGTAGTTGTCAGCCACTGCAGAATAGCTCTTAAAAATGCAGAGGAACAGAGTAAAAACGGCTAATTTCTCCCAAAATTCACATTTTCATAGAAGTATTAAACTCAAGTACTAAAGATACACCTGAAATATGATCAGCAAGCAAAAGGCTAAAAAGCAAAAACAGCATAAGTGGTCGACCACAAATTAATTGAGCTGAAACTATAATAGAAGGATTAAATAGGATGGAATGGAAAATGGTTCATATAACCAAATTTAAATACTTTGGTAATAAGCTTTAGTTGAGCGAAGCAATTAAAATGAGTATGCTTATTCCAAAAGAATCTCCTGTCCATCTGTTCAGCAGCACGAGGCTTTAAAAGCTGCTAGTATATGGTTTTGCAACACACAATAAGATTTGATCATGATCATGAATGTATTTCACCAGCTCCATGAGCTAATATAGAAATGGCATGCACCTTTGCACATTCACCAAGCCAGGCCATGATACCTCTCGCACCTTCAAACATCTCTTCCAAAGCCGTCAAGGTAATCTGCCATTTAGCAAACAATTAGTAAAATCTTTTATTAAGGGCACACACCTCACTTCAGGTAAAGTGCTTACTTTTGCTGCATAGCTAGCTGCAGCAAATGAAGCCGCATCATTGTCAATGGCACCACGTTCTTTTAGCCTCCTTTTTATTTGGTCACGGGCACCAATATAAGTGACACCATACACTGATGTCATCACTGTCTGCTTCACCAATTTCCTGTCCACCTAAGGTTTCCAAGTCACAAGGATAACTATTAGCAATTTACTATACAATTAATTCACAATCACAACCTCATTGTGTCGGCTCTATTAGCAAAATAAAAGAAACATTGCAAATTTTAGTATTTCAAAAGACACAAGTTCATCTTGAGGATCTCATGAAACATTTAGCACCATTGATGAGCATAAGAAAGCAAGAAACCTGATTGATTAAACGCTTAGCATGCAATGCATTTGGATTAGTTGATGGATCTTTTTCTGCATCACTCTTCATTATATCCAGGACCCTACATCAAAATAACAATTAAATTAGATGATTCAAGAAAATGGCAACTTGAGACATCATAACGCTATCAAACATAAGTTGGTGCTTTTTCCAGAAGGCATCAAAGGATCTGCACAGCAATGTAAAAAACTGTATTTAGACTCCACTTAGAATGGTCGGGTTTTCCGAGTATCTGACTAGACCTGTTTATTTACTACCCGTGATGGATTTGAGTTTAGGGGCTTAAGCACCCACTACCATAACCCATTTAATTCTTAAAAATTTAGTTCTTAGGAAAAAAGACATTTGAATTCATGACCTCTAAGAGATATTAAATTACACATTATTAAGCTACTCTAATAACTTCTTTAATGTTAAGGCCCATAACAAAAATATATTAATTTTTTAATACTAATTATATTTATAATTGATGAAATATTAATATTTTTAAATAGTGATAGAGATATTAATAAATATTTATTATTAAAATCAAGTAATTATGTAATTTCTCAAATATAATAATTTTATTGATTTATATATATAATTTCTTATAAAATAAATAAATAAATAATTGGTTATTAATTTTACGATGACTTATGCAAAATAAGAAATCTTGTCTGTATAAAACATATAATTTAAATTTAAGACCTATAAATAATTCATAAGTACATATATATTAGGACTATATTACATATAATATTAACTATATATATAATATATATATATATAAACCAATTTAATTATCATTATATGAATTCAACTAATTAAAACTAAAATATTGAATAAATATATATATATATATATATATAACAATTTAATTATCATATATGAATCAACTAATTAAACATAAATAATTGAAATAACTATTCTAAATAGTTAACTATTATGTAATTATAGTAACTAATATTAGGAACAAATATAGATAATAAATGTATTATGTTTATATTCTACATTTCTATCTATATGTTATTATAATAATTAGTATTGTAATATATTATAATTTTTAAGTATTCAAATCATCACTATCATTCCAATAGTATTATAGTTATATACTTTCTAATTATAACTAGTAGTATACTCATACCTAATATTATAAATATTAGATATACTAAGTATTATAGTTGTATCTAGTAGTATAATTAGTATTTCCTATTAGTATTATAATTACCCCTATAATACTTAATAGATATTTATGGGTATCGCAAGTGTAATTTTAAACAGGCTTGGGGTAGATTTTGGTATCTAGGACAATTTTTGCAGGCGCTAAACCCATTTGCCATTTTGTTTGAGCAATTTTCTCATACGCAGCTGAATGCTTGTACTCACTGATAGCACGTGTCCTATCATTGCAAATGATCTAAATTTTCATGCTTATCCATTGATATATTGCAGTTAGTACATCTACCAAGTTCTCATTCCCTCATTCAAGAGTGACACACAAATACAACACAAAATATACCTTCACACACAGAGACGCACACATAAAGAGAGATAGCGCGTACCTGGCAGCAATTCCTGAGTAAACGTCAGCAGGTTTTTCTCCGTGAACAAGATTAACTGCAGCGGCTCCCAACTAATAAAAAAGCAACTTGTTAAGAAATATTAAAAAATTACACAAATTTGGAGCACTCTGAAATTTTCATAACGTTCCTTCCAAATGTTCCTTCCAAAATCTTATATCATTCCAACTCAAAGAAAAGGTTACAGATCCTTGTTAATAAATGTTCCTTCCAAAATCTTAAAATCATTTCATATGTATATTTTGCTGAAAAGAAGGAAATAAAATCTTAGTGATTTCAAGTTCAACTAGTTGCAGATTCCAGATCAAACAGCTATAATGCAAACATAAAGTTAAATTTTAATGGCTCATCCTTACTTCATGGCAAACAGAAAGCTTTTTACCTTGTCCCTTCCAAGGGCAGCATAGTGTTGCAAACCATTGCAGGAACCATCCTTGAGAAATAACAAGAAAAGATAAGTATAACTAATTCAATGTGAGAACAACAACACAGCACATGATATCACATATGTCTACACACACACATACACACACACACATATTTATATATACATATATATATACACACACACCAAGTGAATGGTATTATAACCATGTAGAGAAAAAGTACCTGATGGACAGGCACATGTGAAATAGCAGTCTCTGGGGAAGAACTTCTCAATGCTTCTGAGAGACTAATACATGTTGCTAAGCATTGAAAAGGATCCTCTGCGCCCAACCACCAGCGCCTTCCTTCAAGTGGTCGGTCTGCAGAATCAAAAATATCATCCAGATGATTCTCAGTAAACGCTATCCGACCCTCATTGGACAACTTGTCAACACCACCAGCATATACATTCGCCAAATGTATCTTCAGCCAGCATAAGCCAGACTTCCCAAGTGGGCGACCCTCTGCAAACTCTAAAATGCCACGACACAGATCAGAGCCAAGGTGGTTCAAATGTGGATGCATGGGGTAAGCACGACCACGAAAATCAAGATTATGAGGGTAGTAAAAGCCATCCTCATCCTTCATCTTCCGAGCAACCTGCTCCAATTAATAAAAGTTGATCATACTGTTCATAAACGCAATTAATATTATAGCACTAAGCATAACCTAAAAGAGCAGGAACTTACGGCAAGTTTAAGTTCTATATCACACCGCTGTGAATGTCTCTCGCTATTCTCTTTTTTCACACTTCTCACTTTCCACTTCCATTTTCGAATTTCAGCTTCATCTACTGTTTCTGGTTCCTCTGGAAGAGGAACCTATTAAGAAATGGAAACAATAAAAGTAATGTACAATTAGTTCACAATAATACATTAGAAAGATGTAGAGAAATTAGTAAAACTGGGCACAAATAATGCTGAATAAAAACCTAACAAGTGACAGTGCAGAAGAAGGAAATTTAAACTAGTATAGAAGAAAAAGAATTCAGATTATGTAAATGCAACTCACATCTTCGCGATCAACTAAGCCAGCAAGATCGCCCCCATTAGCCCATATTCTATCAACTACTGCAAGTACCTTCTTATTCACTCTCCATTTAGTATTTCCAAGTGTATCCAGGGCCTGATTTGAAAGAAAAAGGAACGGAAACCTATTACAATTAAAACAGCAGATTTACATAGGTTCAATGATAAGCCAATTAAAAGTGCCTAACAATTCTGCAAGATAATTTTTTTGATTATCTTTGATATTTTTGAGAATGCAGAATCTAAAGAAGCATAAAATATTGATCTCAAACCTCAAAAACAGGTTGTAATTGTTGCCGTGGTGTCCTTCTAACAACTTCACGTTGCTGTTTCGCTCCATGAGTTCGCATAACATAGGATGGCAAAAACAAGTATGCACCTTGGTCATACCTAAAAATATTGGTAAATTTACAAATTTGGAGAATTAGCAAACAATATTGGAGATAAATATTTGGTAGCTATCTCAAATAAGATGTGAGCAACACAATTAATTTAAAGCTGTAAGCATATTTACAATATAAAATTTGCACAAGAACTACCGGATGGAAATTGATAGTTAGAACCAATTTGGTCAAAACAAAACTATTTTAATCATAGATAGAAGGGAATACATAAAAGCTTAAAAGGAAAAGCTTGAATCCATTACCCTGTCCAGTTTAAAGGAGGCACCAACATTGGCATATAAGGGATGACCATGTGCCTAGCCTACACAAATAAACAGCAATTACTTTCATCATTGTGCCACAAGAATAGATAGTTAGATAATGCTTTAAATTTTGTTCATCGACGATAGATGCAAAGCCTGTAGTAATGTAATATGAACTGAATCAAGGACAATAATTTTCGACTTACAGATTTCTCAAGGCCGCTATGAACAAGAGGATCACACTCAATAACACCATATCTCCTGCTAGTTTTCCTAGTCCAAAATTCAAAATATTTATATTGCATACAAGAGAGAGAATCATTAAATCAAAAGGCATGTGAATCTTCTCACTGTGAATCTTTCACGATAGTCTTAAGCGTATGCATAAATGCAGGGCGGATATTAGGTAGACCATCTCCAAATTGATCAACTGGAGGTTGTATATATGCTGTTTCAATTAACAATTGAATCAAGCGGCAACCAACCTGGGACATAAAAGAATCAGACTAAATTCCAAACAAAAAATACAACCTCAACTAGGGGTGTAAATGAGTTGAGCCAGCCCGTGAGCTGTTCGAGCTCGGCTCAAATCGAGTTTAAGCCTAATGATGTTTAGCTTCAAAGCTCATCTAGCCTTATCGAGCTTTTATATATACATATGTATATAAACACAATGTTTCTTTTAGGCTTACTCAAGCCTCGAGTCTTAAGCTGAGCTCGAGCTCAAATTTTACCAGTTGAACTCAAGCCTAAAGCCAAGCTAAAGCCGAGCTCAAATTGAGCCAAGCCTAAAAATTTTCAAGCTCGTCGAGTTTCAAGCCAAGCTTCGAGCCTAGCAGGTTTGAGCTCGGCCAGGCTCGTTTACACCCCTAGCTTCAACAAATATTTTATATATGAAAAAAAAAAATCTTAACATGTATCAAAAACCTTAACATGTGCTTCCTGTCCCCAAGGCATTGAATGGTCAAAGACCTTCACTAACCCTCTCACTTGATGAACCTTTTGCTTTTTCATCAGTTCAGTGATTTTTCTCCTCAATTTCTCCTGTTCTTTAGCAAGTTTATGCTCTTCAACGGTCACAGGTTCTGAGTTGCATTCAGATTCCTTGTCTTTTGTGCTCTTCTTTTTTTTCTTTGTCTTCTCCAAGAACCTGTGTATCCTAGCCTAATACAGAAAGGGGATAATTACATATATTAATATATGCTCTCAATATTAAAAAATAAAAAATAACCAACACAAATATTTTGAGTAGTACTGAAAACCCATACAAGCTTGTTCTAGCATAAACTAGCTGCCATTGGCATTGCTAGGCCTAGGTGAATAACGAAGATAAATAGCATTCCCAGAAACTTGACGGAAAAATTATTATATAATTAGGGTACAAACACTAACCATAGCAATATGGCACAGTTCAAAGAGAGAATTTTCAAACAGTCAGAAATTATTTAGGATATGAAACCAGACAAATATTACATTTGGTTGTGAATTTGTCTGGACATAAATTCGATATGAAAGCCAATAAATGAATGTTATGGTCTTATAATAGATAGATAAGCTAAAAAGTGAAAATAATATCACGAAAAAGATCTCCACAAATTACCTTTTATGATTTGGTTTGGTTTCGTAGATAGAAAGAAGACTTTCTAGTGAGATGGAACTCATATGATTTAGTCAGTTCAATCTAGAGGATTACATAGAATAAGGTTAAGAAGCCAATAGTTAGAAGAACACAAGTCAAAACATAATTTTTTGAAAAGGCTTAGTTTGTAGCAAAAAACACTAGAGAAAAGAAAAATGTAATTCATCTTTTCTAACATAAACATCATTGCATCCGAAATTCTCCGTCATGAGATAAAACCCTTGATGGTAGTGTAATAACAGTTGCAGCACAAATTTTATGACATGCTCCAAGATCAAAATTAGCAAGTTCTCTACACCAAGTACTTCAGAATCAATGTTAAAGCACACAAAATTTGTTTCTATATAGTTAACTAAAATCAACTCAACTATAAACAACCAAATAACGAATACTAGATCCAGAATATGAAGTCACTCACCTCTTGCTCAATTGCCTCACCCACTGCACAGGCAGCTTGAACAACCCTAACACTCCCATTACCTCCATTAGTAGTCATCAACAATCCCATCAACTTATGCATAGTAATAACTGCCATCATATCTGCTGGCAATGCATCAAAATACGGCCTATGAGAAGGCTTACCAAGCTTCTCCATACATAATTCTTGCTCTGCTGCAATTGCGTCCCTCAAAGGCTCAAACCAACCTAGAAATAAAGATTTTACATAAGGCAAATTAGGTGCCAGTTTCTGCTCGCACATGTCCTCTAACAATTCCTGATATTCTTTAGCTGCCTCTTCCCATGCCTCAGTCTCCATCTTTACTTGTCTCCTTTTAAGGATAGTATACTTTCCCACACCCATACCTGCTATTGTTTTCTTTTGTTGTGGCCTAAACTGCATCTCCATTTTCTGATGGTGCTTATTGATTTCCTCTATCTGTTCTTGGAGTTCATCGGAACCGGAAAAGTCTGACTCATCTGTTGAAAGAATTGACTGTGCAGCCGCAGTTGCATAGCTCTTGAGGAAAGGAGGAGAAAGACCAAGAGGGTTTCTAAAATTAGTGAAACTTTTGCTTAATTCATCACTTGGAGACGATAATACAAGCATTCGGCTAAAATACAGAGGCGAGTAAGGCGAATTGAAGAATGTTGGGATCTCTAGAGGCCTGATTTTCTCAATAAAGTTAGAGACTTGATAGGGTTTTGTCAGATTTGAAGAAAGTTTCTGCTGCTTAGCAGAAGAAGCTCGTCTGGCAAAGCTTCTCCACATGGTTTTGAATGTATTGACAAGTGATGGAAAAGGGAAATAAGATTTTAGCAGAAGAGAAAAGAAAAGGAGTAAATTACTGGTACAAGCATTAATAAATTTAAAAGATGGAAATTGAAGAGAAACAAGAAGAAGATATTGAAAAGGAGGGATCAGTGTAATATCCAGAGGAGGCTGATGGAAAGAGCAGCCGCCTTTAAACCCTCCTTAAAACCTACAAGGCTGCAAGTAGAAGCGTAGAACTTTTACTCTCCGCATGGACCATGGTCTTCTGGATGTATCCATGGATCTTAGAGCCCAATGGTATTCTTAGAGCTATCGGGTTTGGATAACCCGATTACTTCTTTTATTTTATTTTATTTTACTGTTTTTGGCCTTTGAATTTCTTGTGTAGCTTATGCCCGGAACGAACACAAATAAAATTAAACACATGTTGAGGTGAATATGGTTCAAATCTAAAATTTTAACCGATAAATCAAACCGATTTCATAATTACAATTTTTAACCGAGAAATCAAACCGATTCATCTTAATTATGAAGTCGGTTCAGTTTATCTGGAAATTTAAGTTTAGTTTGATTTTTGTACTTGCTTAATCCATAATTTTTGTTACAATAACGTATTAAAAAATTTTAGTTAATATAAATAAAACTATAATTTCTACTTTAATATCCATTAATATTTATACTCTGCATTAAATTATTTTTTAAATTAACCGAACTCTAATCAAATACTCTCTATATATAAATATCAGGATAATTTTTATCCTTAAATATAAATCATTTTAAAAATATCTAAAAAAATTAATAAAATTTTTTTCAATTTTATTTTCATCTATATCAAATCCAATAACTGTCTCTATAATTTTCTAAAGAGTAATTTAATCAAATTAGTAAACTTTTTATTATAATTTAAAGCTTCTTTAATTATTAAATGACTTATATTTATAGATGGAATATTTAATTAAATAGAGTTTTCATAAAAAATTATATATTAGTATTTTAATTTATTTATCTCAAAATTTAATTAATGATGATGTAATAATTCAACTATTATATTTATTTATAAAAACAAAGTAAATAAGCTAAAACAGTAAATTTCGAATGGAGGGTATATAAGACAACCGAACAGCATCATTATGCTTTTATCAAACAACATTCAAAATAATATTTTCTGAAAAAGAATAAAGAAAATGCAATTTTAACTGCAATGTCAAACAGGTTCGTTTCCACGAGAAAAATGGATTAATTTGCTGTGTTTCACAATGAATTTGTGGTGCCAAACGAGTCTTTCAAGCTTTGTTTCTGATAAAAACGCAAGGCCCCAAAATTACAGCATACACCCGACAATTTTAAAAGACAAAAGTGGTTTACGTGAAGCTTGGAAAATTTAGGCAGTTCTGCTATTATAAAAAATGGCATTTCAAGAAGGGCAGTGAAAGCCTACAGTTCTGCTAATTGTTTAGACATAGACAAACATCTACCAATTAATCTCCTATGCTGTAAATCATTAGCAGAAAGCCTATGTTCTCTTCCGCACTGCAAATTTTATCCACGCCTTGCACTCTGTTCCACTGCAATCAGACACCTCTCCTATGCCTCTTGATGCGTTATTTCCCTCAAGGTTTACTGAAATAATGTCATTTAGTCGTTCCAAGGATCGCTCTCTGCCCTCACTTCTGATGGTTCAATTACTTCAGGCTCTGCAGCTTCATTAACATTGGCATCAGATTCCACAGCATTATCCTCAACTGTCTCTGCCCCGTCGTCTTCAGATCTACCCCATCTTCCTCCAAGTGCCATAGTCATCATCTCATATATCTTGTTACCCAACTCAGCTGGGCTGTCAGGCTGCAACATCACAAGATCGATTTAAGCAAAACAAGAAAACCATGCATAATCATGTGAAAAAAAACCTGCCCAGCCACCCAACACGGGGCAGAGGAACTGCCGTTCATCCTTACCGAGAATCCACTGGAGATCAAAGCCGTGTCATATAGGAGGTCAACAGCTCTTTTGGCATCACCACTATCAGGTGCATTCTTGCATGCAGCCTGTAAAATAAAACAGCAATTTCATTAAAAAATCAAATAGTAAGAACTCCAACCAGAAGACGAGCAATTTCAGCTTCAGCCTGAATGCCAGTAAAATTCATTTACAGTACTTTATAGAAGTCAAACGTAAAATATAAAAGCCAAAGAATGGAATTTGAGGTGGCAAAGTTCAGAGTATGACAACTTGTCATGATATGTAAAATCATTTCACCGAATCAACATTATTAATACCCTGCTAGTGACTACTGCTGAAAAAGACTCATGGACTGATGAAAAAGACTGCCATGAGAACCTTTAGAAACTCGTATCTACTAATTTGTATGCGAGAAAAATATGAATTTGTCATACTTGACTTTCATTAACAGAACCGAAAACTTTGTAAATTACTGGTCTACCATAATTTTTTGGTTGTATCTAAGTTCTTTTCCTTCTTTTTACTTCATGGATACTTCTTACAGAACATACTACTGCATCTACATGTCATTCTGGGTCCTCCAAAAGCTCAAGAACATAATCAACATACACAAAAAATATTTATGAAAATAAAGCGTGTGCAAACAGAAAAGAAACTCCTCTCACTATCACAGAGATGGACAGAAAAATTAAAAATCACTAGCTAATTAGAGGAGTTCTATGGAAGGTTGTCCTTTTCCACTTTAGCACTATGCTGAATTATGGTGTCTTCTTATAGCTTATTAGGGATAAAGCTCAGGAACAACAGAACAAACCACAATAGCATGGCTTCAATAATATCAACCAACATAGAGCAGAATGGCTTACATTTAAGTCTTCAATAATGGGATGATCTGGATTAATCTCCAGTATTCTCCTTCCTCTCATGAACTCCAAGCTAGCAGTGTCTCCAAGAGCTTGTGCTTTCATTAACCTACAGAGTGTGGAAATTTTTGAAAATGTGAGTTAATGTGTTTTTTGAGTTTGTTTTCTAAGCATCAACTGTGAGGAGGGTCAAGCTGTTATTGACCACTTCCTACCTTTCCATATTGGCTGACCATCCAAACTTGCCAGAAACGAGCACACAGGGAGATGAGCTTAGACGCTTTGATACTTGCACTTTAGCCACCTTGTCACCAAGCTGCTGCTTTATCCAGTCACAGAGGAGAATGTATTCCTGTTTAGTTTCTCTTTCTGTCACCTCATCCTCATCTCCTGATATCAAACCCCAATCCATTAGCAAAGATGTATGTCAAAGTCCCAGCAAGATAGGAGCTATGAGAAAGGAAAAGGAAGAAATTAACTGGTGCTATCAATAATAGCAAAGTTGCAAGGTCTGACCAAGTTCTAGATCTTCCTTGCTGATATCAACAAATTTCTTTTCTTTGTAGGTCTGCAGGTTCTGGATGGCAACCTCATCAATGGGCTCAATTAAATAAAGAACCTAAAAACGATTACAGTTATCAAACTGAGTCACGAATGCAGAAAAAGGTAAAGAGAAATGTGCAGTTACTGATACCAATACAGATAGCTCAAGACAAACTAATTCATTAAGGGAATAAAAAGGCAAGACAAGAACAAAACACTGTACTTGCAACAACTATAATTAGAAAGGAAAAGGAAATTAATTAGTAAATGAAATTATGAAAATATTTTAAATCTAGATCACCATAATATATTTCATCCTTCCCTTGATATATTTATATTGTCAGCCCATGCATTAGTGGCTACATGACATTTATCTCCTTAGATTACTTTTGATCAGCTTATGCAGATGAAGATGCATTCACCTTGCCAAAAACTATTCAGAAGACAGTAATGCAAAATATGCACATACCTCAATGCCTTTTTGAACCAACTTCTCCAAGAATGGAGCACTCTTTGCGCTTTTCAAGCTGTCTGTTGCCAAGTAATAGATAGCCTTCTGGTTTTCCCCCATGTTCTCGATATACTCATCCAAGGTTGTGAGTTCGTCCTCACTTTTGGAAGTGTAGAATCGCAGCAATGGAGTTATACGCTTGTGGTTACCCGTGTCTTCAATACATCCTAATTTCAGAAACCTGCCAAAATTCTCCCAGAATTTCTTGTAATCCTGAAATCAAGTTAAAACATACCAAGCTCCTTAGCTAAAACCCATCAATCAAGGAAATAAACATGTATGGATTAATTGCTACAAACCTCCTTATTTTCACTTTCAGATAGCTCTTGAATCATGTCAAATGTTTTCCTAACAAGTCTCTTTCTCATAATCCTTACAATTCGACTCTCTTGAAGGATTTCTCGAGATACATTAAGAGGAAGATCATCAGAGTCGACCACGCCCTTCACAAAGCTCAGGTATCGTGGAAACTGCAAGAAAATCACTTCTAGCTTATTCCTTTAAGGAAATTATAATTTTATATAAAGAATAAAAATTCCACAAGTTATAATGACAAAGTTAATGTAATTTAGTTTATAGCAACCTCATGTTCACTCTTTTAAGACGGAAGAACCAAATATTCAATTATATCTCAAATAGTGGTATTTTCTGCTTGAAAAGAAGCATCCATAATTGACGCCAAGTCTCCAAGCATACAATACACAATCAAAAGGATATGGACCTATTTTCTCCAATTACGCTTCTGTTTACAATTGCTATAGGTTCATGGTTCAGAGCAATCTTCTAGGATTTCAAGCTATCATGACAAGTCAATACTTACCAGCTCTCCATCAAAATCATCTGAGATGAATACTCGCTTCACATATAAACGTATATTCTTGGTTTTTGGATTTACAACCTCCTCATTGTTAAGAGGCCCCATTCCAGGTATGTATAAAACACTCCTAAACTCCACCTCTCCCTGCAAAATTTTCCAAAACAGAGTTCAGAACTAAACCAATATGTAGTCAGTCAGTTAAAACAACCAAAAACATTTTCATACCTCAGTGGTGAAGTGTGTATATGCAAGCGGGTCCAAGAATTCATTAAATGTTTTCTTGTAGAACTCATTGTACTCATCCTTTTCAACTTCCTTTGGACTTCGCATCTGCAACATACCAAACAAAAATAAATAATTATATAACAAAATCATATGCGAAGCATCCATGGAAAAGGAAAGGAAGGAGAAAAAAGTAAGAAAAAGGCATATAACTCTGAACTTCTTTCTCTCATGTCACACAGAAGCACAAACACCAATGCATAACTATGATTCAACATAACATGCATAGAATAGATTCAGTCCTTGTACTCACCCATATTGGTTTTGTTTCATTGGCTAGCTCCCAATCCCAATACTTCTCAGTCTTAGTTTTCTTTGTCTTTTTCTTCTCGTCCTGGCAACAGATGCACAATTTGTCTTAAAGGCCATAATCAACCACCACATTAACCACAGAATATTACTCAGAACTGATGTGCTAGTTTACCTCTGGTTTGGCTTCTTCTCCTTCTTTTGGTTCTTCCTCCTCTTCCACCTGCCAAATTAGAATTTAGTAGACTGTTTAATAAGGTGCTTGCATCACTATACATAAGTAATCATCCTAGAAAGAAAAGGAGTTGAACTAAACTCATTACCTCAAGAATTAACTTACGAAATAAAGAAAACATATATTTATACAAATTCTATGGAACAGGCCAAAGATTAATGCTTGAAAATTTAAAAAGAACACTTGATAAAAAAACAAACTTTTACTAAAACTGCTGCTTATCCCCCCAACTCAATACAAAACAATAATAATCCCCTCTCCTTTTCCTAAAGAAAAGAGAGCAAATAGATGCAAATCAAAGTTGTTTTGCATAGTTGTTGTGTATAAATACAAAAGACAACTTTTAAGGTAGTGAGGGAAGACATTTGATAGAAACGTTCTAACCTCAACAGTCCTTGATTTTTCTTGCCATGTATAGATGGGGAAAGAAACAAATTGTGAGTAGTTCTTCACCAAACCCTGAATCCTGGATGGATCCGAGAATTCATATTTATCATCCTCCTGCAATAAAATCACAGCACATTTGCTGAATTCAGTATACAATAAATAAGCCCAAATTTATTCAAAATTTGGGAAGACAGACTAAACAATATACAAACTCCAAAGTAGCATGAGTAATTGACTTTCAAGATTACGCTGCTTGGTTTACATTAAAACTTATGCTAAACATCTAAAGAGTTTGAGTACCCTCAAATAAAGAGTAATCTGTGTTCCTCGACGCAGAAGCTTCTCAGGATCAGTTTCTTCCTTAATCACATATGAACTACTGTCAGCTGCTGCTTCCCAGACATACTGCTTATCTGACCTTGGACTCTTTGTAGACACAACAACCTGATTCCACATAATATATAAGAATAAATTTCATTAGCAAATTGCAAAGGCACTGTTTTCTACAACAAATAGTTCAGATAAAAAGCAACGCATTGCAGAATATCAACAACTTTGTAGAAATCATACTGCACCTTCTCAGCCACAAGAAAGGCAGAATAGAACCCAACACCAAATTGACCGATCAAGCCATTGTCTGCACCAAGATCTTGGTTTTCCTGTACAGGATAGATATGGAGAACTTAATAAAGCAGGCCTTGAAGGTATAGTAGGGGAAAAAGAAGGTAACAAGAAAGACTCGGTCTTTGTTTATTGATCTTTATTTGTTTAAAGACTCAGTCTCAGTAGTTTCATTACAACATGGAGTCTAAGGAATTGCATAGCTGCTGGAATTCACTGTAATGAGAACAAATAGACACCTTAAGAGCCTTCAGGAATTTTGATGTGCCACTCTGCGCAATAGTTCCAAGACAGTCAATGAGCTCTTCTTTTGTCATTCCAATACCAGTATCTCTGCATATTAAGAAAAACCACTCCTATCAACTTCTGAGCATTTGTTTTGATGGGCAAAAGTGTGAAAAAAGGAAATAGTAGCATACGTTATAGTAATGATCCCATTCTCTGGATCAGGTTTTATACGAATCTCCAGGTCACCAGCATCTCCAAGCAAAGATGGCTCAGTCACACTCAAGAATCTCAATTTATCCAAAGCATCACTTGCATTGCTGGAACAGTAAAACAGAACCAAGTTAACCTACATCTTATACTAGAGACTGCAACTTGCTGGCTACTAGTAATTAGCAAATGATTGAAATTTGAGGAGGACAAGGAAATGATCAATTTTTTGAAGTAGAGAGAGAAGGCATAATGATGGTGGCCTTTCTTGAGAGGTTATTTGTTCCATGTTTTCTCATTAAGGTTCCATATAACCAAACGAAAAGTTTTAACAAATCTTAGAGTGAGAAACTAGAAACATTTTCAACAACTAAAGAAAACTGTATCCTTTAAGCTTTTGTCAATCAAGCAACATGCTCACCTCACAAGCTCCCTGAGGAATACTTCCTTATGGCTGTATAGACTATGAACGATCAAATCCAACAGGCGGCTAACCTGAAATGATTAAATTGCCCAATCATTAGCGCTCGAACAAAATTCTGACTCCTAATAGAGTAGAATATAACAACTCCAATCACACAACAGAAAAAAAAAAAAAATCCCACAAAGCTTCCATATTTTAGTCAAATACAATGACAAACAAACCAGCCCATAACAATTATGTAAAAAAAGCTTAACAAATGACGTCCAGTTATATAAAAGCTTGATATTTCTCTCAATCAAAGATTCATCAAATATAAATAACCATTCCTGATCTCGATTCAAAAATTTTTCCAACTACAAAGAAATGATAATAAAACCAATTATTTGAACCAATCCGAAATTTCTTCTAGCAGGTAGAATCCAAGCCAATCAAAGACCCAAGTCGCTAAATCTCAAAACAAACAAAAATCAACAGCCACCCACCTCAGCTTGATACTCGAATTTCTCACCAGATACATCTGCGGCCTCTTTCTCAGCGACGGCCGCCTCGCAGCGGACAGCAATCCGATTATTTCGCTTCTCAACTTTCCATTTGAGGCCAGCACAAGAGAATCCTTTCCTCAGACCGTTGTTTTGCAGAAAAGAACGAGTTCTTAGATTAAATGACTTGTTATTGGGCTGTTTAAGTGAAAAGGGTGTAGAAGAGGGAATAGAAACCAAAGTAGCAGTTGCTAAGCTTCTGCTTAGAACTGGAGCCATTAAGCCCTAAACAGATAGAAGAAGAGCTGCAGACTTGCAGTTAGGTAGCAATAGAGATATTTCAGGCTATCACGATAACTATGAATATTTCGCTACTTGAGTGTTGAAAAAACTGAAAACCCTCAAGGGGTTTAAGGGGAAGAAAAGAGGGTTCTAGAAAGATGACGATCAACGTGGGGGTTTTATTTTTGGAGCTATTTGTTTGGAATTGTAAGGCCTAGATGCTGCCACCTCATTATCTACAATATCCTCTTTAATTTTCCCTTTTTTATGAAATAAACGATAAAAATTAAGATTCAAAAGGAAATTAGGGAAAAAATGGATAAAAAAATTTAAAACAGATATAAAATGGAGATGATGTTACTTCTAATAACTCAACTTTCAACTTCATTTCTGTTTTTGGCGTCTGAATGCAAAATCTATTAATTAAATGTGTGAATAGGATCATGAGTGAACATTTGTTTTCTTTCTTTTTTTTTTTTCTTGCGGCCAACATTGTCTAACTTGCTACTACATCATTGTTAGTAAACTAAACAAAATTCCGAGCTTCCCACACGAGTGTTATATATTTTTGAAATATTTTTTTGAGAATACATATTGCTCCCTTATTGACAGTGCTTTTTTTTTTTTTTCATTTTCTTTTAGTATTGTACACCAAACTGATTAAAAATATTTAAAAAATAATAATATTACTGCTTTGTCTTTTTTTTTCCCCAATGAATGATCAAGAACACTCTCATTGTTAGTAATTGATTTGATTATTGTATACGAACGCATAATTTTTTATTTATGTTAGGTTTAGTCAAACTTTATTGTATATGAGTAATGTTTGAACTCTGAAAAATATCAAAATCTCTAAAGACATAATCAACCAACTCATGATTTTCTGCGGAAAATGAAATTGACAATCTCCCACGTGAACAAAATTAATTAGGTTGAAACTATAAAAAAAAAAAAAAAATGGTTTCTTTATAATAGTAAGTCAATCACTAAATAGACTGTGTAAATTGCATCATATTAATCTAGGTTTTAAGTTGTTACGATATTAATCAAATTTGAACATAGTGTAAGGTCATTTTCGATAAAATTAGCTATTTTCGATAAAATTATCTATTTTCAATAACTTCTCCAATATTTGTCACCGAGCACTATAAATAATATGAGCAAAAAATGGATAAAAAGTTGTTACCGAACATGGCTCAAAGATAAAATCATTCAAGGTTCACTCATTCTAAGAATCACGAATAAGTCTATAAGAGAAAATAAAGTGATCTGAAAAGTATTTTTTTCAAAATAATATGTAAAGTTTAACGAGTTTAAAAATCACAAGTATATACATACTAAGGCGTAACCTAGTGGTAAATGCATATATATCTCATATTAGAAAGAAAAATACTATTTATGATGAATATATTAATTGAATTGAACTCATATAAGCTCAAATTTTAATAGTTTTCCATTTGTTAGTCCAGTAGTCCATATGCTGCTGGATTGTGGATCCTAACAAGCAATCTTGGAGGGTGCAAAAGCTCCATGGCTATATGAACCTTGTGACCTTGGCATATATATACGAGCAGTCTACTGGATGATCTAAGTAGTAGAGCTAACACTCAGCTTATTGTAAAAGAAAGCTAATATCTTTTAGTTGCATTATGTGGTTCCTGGCTTCCTGCACCATTTGCAAATACATGAAACATGAAGATGAACTGAGGCAGATATATAGAAGAGAAGAAGATTTATGACCATTGCTAGATGAGAATTTCTGACAGATACCAAAAGAACCTACCTAGTTCAATTGCTTTCCTGTGTGTGTATTACAAAGTTATTATTTGGAAAAGAAAAACAGCATTTCGACAATATCCCAACCAATAAACCAAACAGAGAAACTAGAAAAAGGATATCAGAATCCACTTACAAGCACTGACTTATATATCTTAGGCTTTACTAGCTGTTTGCTTCAAACAATCAACATTGCACAATCCCACAGCTCTAACCATGTCTCCTAACCTGCCATAACCATTCAATATGTGTCAGTGGTCAACACCTGATTAACATTAACAACCAAATTAACAATAAATACTGACCTTTCAAAACTGTTTCTTGCTTTCTCCGGCTGATCAGTGCTATTCCTCGCTTTCACAGTACGATCAATACTCTTTCTCGACTTCTCTCTCCTGTCAGTGCTAGTTCTTCCTTTCTCCTTATTATCTGTACTAAACCTAGATTTTTCTCTTTGCCCAGTACTAGTTCTAGCCTTAGTATCTTTATTATCTGTGCTTGGCCTTGGCTTGCCATCAGGCGTAGCCTCGTTATCTTTATGATCTGTGCTTGGCCTTGACTTGCCATCAGGCGTAGCCTCATTATCTATATGATCTATGCTTGGCCTCGGCTTGTCCTTGTTGCCATCAGGTCTAGCCTCATTATCTTTATGATCTGTGCTTGGCCTCGGCTTGTCCTTAATGCCATCAGGCGTAGCCTCATTGTCTTTATGATCTGTGCTTGGCCTTGGCTTGTCCTTATCACCATCGGGCCTAGCCTCCTTATCAGTATAATCTGTGCTTGGCCTTGAATTGTCCTTATCACCAGCAGATGTGTCCGAAGTCTGCCCCGGATGATTCTTGGTACATTGTCCAGGTCCAGTTCTGAGATGTGGAGGCAATTTTTCAATAGCAGAGATGAATTTCCTGAGATGCCTCAAGTATTCTGGGTAAAGTTCCAAGTTGCAGTGATTCCCTCCATTAAGCCATAAAGGTTCATACTTGTCTTTACAAAGCTCCCATAGTTTCTTACCATGAGAAAAATCCACAACATCATCTTCAGTCCCCTACAATTTGATGGCAGAGCAATTATATTGAGCTGCTTCTAGCTAGTTGTTATCTAAGTAGTTCTAAGGGAATGGTACTCACATGAATTACTAGCACTGGGCAATTAACAAGCTGAATCTTATCGATATTCTGCAATTAAGAAATGAACTTTATGTTCATTACATCGTAACGTGACATAATCAAACACAATTTAGTTCAGTTCAGGTATACGAACCTTATAAATGTCAAACCAGAATGTTTTCTTGACAGGATACATGACTCGAAGACCAGATAAGATAGGACTGTGAAGAATGACAGCTCTCAATTGAAGCAAACGAGTAGCTAATTCAAGAGTAGGTCCACTTCCTACTGACTGACCATACAATATAATGTCTTCCTCCTTCACTCCATAAGTCTCTTTCAAGCATTTATATGCAGCTTCTATATCAGCATATGTGTCTTGTTCACTAGGCTAAAATGGGTATCAATCCAAGCAATTAGCATACAAAACAAGTTTTCTTTCTTGACTACAATTCCAGAAAAAAGATTCATCTTCATCTATGGGAATTTATTATAGAGAAAGAAATTAAATATGAGGTTATCAACAGCCGTCCCTAATCACCCTACTTAATCCATGTTTATCCTAAATTAAGCAAATTCCTGCCTCCCCTCTACTCTAAGGTCATCTGCCAAATGTACTTAAGCCATCAAAACACAAAACACGACAAATGTGCTTTGACAAACCTAAAGCTTTTAACATTAATAAGTAGAAAATTTAGTTTCCTTTGATTCTGTCTTTACCCTGAAACATATTGTTCCTAGTCCCATTTTTGAAAACTATATATTACCGTGAGTATCCACTATTTTTTTTTTTCAGTGTTTCGTGGTTATCCCTCCCTTTAAGAGTTTTTTTTCTGAAAAGAACATTGTTTAATAATTAAGAAACAGCTACTTGTCAACTAAAATACATCAGTAAACTCTTTCACCATACCAAATAATTAGACTTAATTCCTACGATATATGCAAAAGCTGACTTATAATATATTTTTTATCAAGAAAGAAAATAAAAAGAGTATACCTTCCCAGAAGATTGTCCATACCCAGAATAATCATACCTGCGTAGATATTAACAAATTAAATATTAAATATTAAATAAATAAGATCAAGGTTATTTTACATATAATATAATTGAAGGGAAAGTTATTAATTGATTACTGACCCCATAAGATTAACATTAAGGTGCAAACTAAGCTCAATAAAAATATGAAGCATCTGGCCGAGATCAGCAGCGTTGCCATGAGAGTACAACACAGTCAATGAAGCTGAAGGGTTTTTAACGTACAGGGCAACAATCTCATGTCCTTTCTTTGTTGAAAGCTTTAAAACATCTACGACGTCGTCTCTTTGATGAACAACTGAGATCCTCAGTTTCCCAGTTTCTTCATCCACTATAATGTTATAAGACGGTGGCTTTGGTGGGAAGAAAGCGAATTTCGCCGCCATTGACGACGTTGCTGTCCCCATCTTTGAACTGAAAACAATTCTGGAATTGGGTTTTGACGATCTTTGTATATTTTGCCTTGAAAGGCTAAGGGAAGTGCATGGTGAAGCAGTTTAATTTGTGTGTCAGTGTGTTTATATATATTTTATTTTAAAATTTTTTGGAGCGGCAGAGAGAGACAGAGAGAAAAGAAATTGTGATTATGATGTATGCGACAAATAGAAGTATGTCTGTTGATGGGATTTTTATAGATTTTGTGTTTTGGTGGGTTCTTGTTTGTTTCGTGAGAAAATAGTCCGAAACGGAAAGAGAGAGAGAGAGAGTGGAAACTGGAAAGGAAGGAACAAAATCAGAGGGAGAAATAATTGTCGATTATGCAATGGTATTTCTGTATTTGAAATTTTGAACTAATATCTATATCTATAATTTGTAAATTTTTTTTTTATTCATTGAAAGGTTAGATAGGTCAAGACACTAATTTGTAATATTACGAGCTATATAATAGAAATATGCTGATAGTTTTTACTTAGACTCACTAATTAGACTACACTTAATTGATATCTATAATTTGCATATTACAAATGTGAATAACGAGATTTCTAATTAAATTTAATAAGATTTAAAATATTATAGAATAATCTTATGTGTGATCAATTAAAAATCTTCGCGGAAATTATATTTATATAACTTTTACATAATTTAATTGGATATATTATATTAAGATTACTTTATAAAATAAATATATGTAGATAATTAAACTTTTTAAAGTTTTTAAGTTTTAATTTTTTTTAATTTAACTTTTGAATTTTTTATAATTAAACTTTTGAATATATAATATTATATATATAATATTAATGAGATATTAAAAATTTTGATATTTTTCTTTTTCAAATTCATTTTTTAAATATATAATTTTATTTTTCTCATTTTAATAAAGAGCATTAAACTTGGAAAATAAAGAAATAATATCTCGAGGCCAAATAGCCCCAGTAAGATCAGCCGCGAAGTATTGTTGAAGCCAACGACTTGGAATCTGCTTGCTTGCAAGAGTATCTGCGACAGAATTGTCCTGCGAAAGATTTTGCAAAACTTCACTTTCCAATTCCTCTTCAAAAGATTCTTAAATATTTAATTTTTATTATTTGATTGTAGTTTAAAATTTTATTTAAGAGAGATAAATAAAATTAAAAAAATATTCTCCTTTTTTAATATTATTTTCTTTATATTTATATGACTGATTGGATATATTTTTTAAAAATAAATTTTTAAATAAATATATATACAAAATTAATCCTTTCAAATTTTTAAATATTTAATTTTTTCAACTTATTTTATAAATAAAAGGAAAATAAAGTGGCGAATAATTAAAATTTTTCAAGAAATATTATATATTAATATTTGAGGGTTATACTTTCTTTTCTCAGCATTATATTTTCTTTATTTTTAGTAATATAAATTATTTATAATGTTATAATTTATAACAAAAGATTAATATATATATAAATAAATTACATTTACTTGTATTATATAAAAACAACGAGCACAAATAACGTGCATTGTAAAAACGAATATAAATAACTTGCAATGCACGTTCTTATATGTCCAAAGTGCTATGACATATTCCTTGAACAAAGATATTTGAAATTCTTTCCAAGTTTTTCAATACAAAATTTATAGTAATTTTGGTAATCTTAGTAATTTAAACCTTTTTTTTTTTTTGGAATTTGGATTTTCATTTTTGGCATTCGACTATAATGAATAAATATTTTATTTATATATATCGATAAAACTTATCTACATTTTGTGTATAAAGCCACTTCATATATTAAACAAATAAATTAAAGAGTTATATGAAAGTGAAATTAAAGAGTTATATATATATGTATAATAATTAGAATTATACGTATAGATTATATATATAGTTATATATGAATGATTAAAATAGCTCGGTTACTATTCAAAAAATCTTGCATTCGCTAAATTAGAAAACTAGTAGATAATGACAATATATATAGTGAATGATTAAAAATATGCTCGTTACTATCAAAAATTTTTGCATTGCTTAAATAGAAAATAGAGGATAATGACAACTTTCACAAAACCATAACAATATAATAAGATAGAAACTTTAATTTTAAGATTATTATTTAATTAATGATTATGATTCCAAAAAATAAAAGCAATAAAAACAGAAATGTGATGAATTCAATCTAAAATGCCCTCCACCTTTTCTTAATTTGGTCTAAGAATAATTAATTTAGGTATCTGTCCTTCCTATTTAAACATGTATATCCAATTCTAATTTGAAGTTTCAAAAATGCCACATTTATAATTTCACCTTAATAGTCCAAGGTCTCTATTGATCCACCTCTAAAACATATTTTCTTTGCCATATAAAAATAGTTGCTTTCCTTTTCATTTGAATTATACCCAAAATTTATTTTTGAAAGTAATTTCTTAGTTTTTAACATAATTGATATTACCAATAATGTACTTATTTATTAATATACCAAATCATTTTGAAATTCCCTTTTAAAAATGTATTTCAAAAATTTTTTCGACCTAATATATATAATTGACTCTAAATTCTAGGCATTTCTCTTTGTGGCCTTTGAACTTAACATGGTTCAATTATAATTTTATAATTTCGTATTTCAGCAGTAAATATGCTCCTCACCAAAATGAAATGTGAACATACAGTCATAATTGAATTCCTTTTTAATTTTACTTGTTGAAAGTTTCTCCTACGAGGCTTTTGCTTTAATATTATATTGGAAAAAATATTTGAGAGAAAAAAAAAAAAGGATTTTATGGTAGCAAAAGTGGGTGAATGATGAAATTGTGGGACAAAAAGACTTAAAATATTCAAAGTAAATTTAAATGGGTGGGACTCATTTACAAGATGGAGAGGAAACATTTCATGATTACATATAAGTCCATTACATTTTTTTTTTTTGACTTTGAAATTGTGGTTCTTCTTATTTGCTTTTCATGCCAAAACCCATAAATCCAAATATTTTCTACATTAAATTTCTCATACCCTTGCTTTCCCAATTTCTTCTTTTTAGGAAAATTTAATTTCTAATCATATATATAATATATATTTGCTTTCAGGAACTTTAAATATTAGTATTATTTTTTTTTTTTTCAAAGGACCTCTATATTTGAGCTTATGATTCCTAATTATCATCATTAGATTATTAACTATTGGTTGAGAGTGTGTTTTTTAGTGCAGGAGATCCAATGTCTAATCTAATTATTTTTCTCTTTTAATAAATTCTTTAATGTACTAAGTTTTTTTGAAATATAAAAATAATTTTTATTTTTCATGTTTGAACAAAACAGATGGAAGAGATATTAGATATTAAACTAGTAATTAAAGGGTAAATCAAATAATTATATTTGGATTCAAAGAAAAATATAATAAAATTATTTTCTAATTACACAAATTTAACATCATAACTTGATAATTGAAATTAATTTTTTGCTTTTTGAAAAAATGAAAAAATGGAATTTATTTGAAAAAAGGAAAAAGAGGGGATGGCACTAGGGAGCTAAGTTGTTACGATGCTTGGCTTGCTTCAGTGGATTTAGTTATTTATGCTGGGTGGATACTACTTCAGATCACTGTGTTTTTATGAAGAAATTCTCTGTTGATGACTACATTGTTTTTGCTCTATGTGGTTGATTGTTGGTCAGAAATCTAGTAAGGCTTGATGACTACATGTTTTGCTCTATGTGGTTGATTGTTTGGTCAGAAATCAGTAAGTCTTTGCGTGAGAGACTGGGACGAAGCAAAGCAAATTTCTTGGCATGAAGATTACAGAAATCGCAAGAACGAAGAAATTATGGGTTTGTCTACAAGAAAAGTAGCAATCTTGAAGAAAGTACTTCGAAAGGTTTTAGAATGGAGAACCTGCAAAAGCGGTTAGTTTGCCTCTTAACCTAAATTCAACTTGTAAAGATTTAAAGGTTCTAAACCCAGGTGCCTCTTCTTTACGTGAAGAGAGAAAGGATAGAATGGAAAAAGATTTCATATAGCCTTCAACAGTTGGAAGCTTGATGTATGCCATGGTTGTACACGCCCAGATATTGGCTCAATCATCGGGAGTAGTGAGGTCTGGTTCGTTTCAAAAAAATCTTTGGAAAGGAACAGTGGACTGCAGTGAAATGAAATTCTTCGAGGTACAACCCAAAAGTATGTTTTATGCTTTGGAAGAACTGAGAAGCCAGTATTGAGTTCCGGTTATACGGATGCAAGAATAGCTGGGATGTTACTCGATGAAAGTCTACACAGGATATCTAATCACATTTTGCGCAAAGGGAGCCGTGTCGTGCAGTCAAGAGATTACTGAAGCGTGCAAATTGTTGCTGTGTAACAATCATGAAACCAATGACCGAAAAAAAGATCTTGCAGCTGTGTCTTGTGTCGAAAGTCTTCCCGAACAAAAGGACGGTCGGGGCGGGCCGGTCCTGCAAAGTTGTAGCCGGCGGTTACAAAGATATGGGCAGTCTAATAGATTTATACTCAGGATGAAATGACGACTAACGTCCTCACGTGAAATTGTGGCAGGGGGAGATTTGTTGTGGTGGTGTGCCCACTCAAGTGGGACGCCACGAACATAAGTTATAAAACGGAAGGAAGTAAAGTTGGCTTGTCAAAACGTTGTTATGTGTTGTAAAGTAAGAAAGAATAGGAGCAGACCAGTTCCAAACAGGATGGCTTTGGAAATTGTGTGTACATGGGCGGATGACTTGAATAAGTTGTTACACGGGACTCATTAAACGCGTTAGACTCTGCCTATAACATAGAGGCAGAGGCAGATACACACAATACACAGCAGAATGAAAAAAGAGAGAAAAATGTAGCGAGAGTTTTTTCTAAGTTTAGGTTTGGTTGTTTCTCTAAAATTAGGGGAGAGTAAAAAATAGTGAGGAAATGTATGTATGGTAGTGTCTTTTGGGAAACAGCTTTGAGTGTCACTATCTTTTGTATTAACGTCTCTGTTGTGTACCTACTATTTTATTAGCTGGAAAGAATGTAATCGGGATTTTTTTGAATCCCGTGGACGTAAGCCCAAACAGTTGAAGGGGAAAGCCACGTAAATAATCTGTGTAGCACAATTTATATTCAAATTTTCTCTTAATCGGTTGAAAGGGTAGCCCTAAACAGTTGAGGGTGAACCACGTAAATATCTGTGTGTCACAAGTTTATTATTCCGCTGCGTTAATTTTCTCTTAATCGGTTGAAAGGGCCTAACAAGAGTGGTATCAGAGCTGATACCCAACAACTGGTATCAGAGCTGATGCCTAACAGGATACAATAAAGAAATTTAATAAAAATATTTGGCATAAATAAATATATAAGTTGTTTTGCTATAAAAAATTGATAAAATAATAATAAATAATGATAATTTTTTAAAATAATAATTAAAGATTAATTTATCTAGATAAGTATTTTAAAGATTTTTCTGAAAATAATTGCTTAAATAGGATGTTCGGGAACCAATATGTTTTTATCCACAAATCAGATTCAATAAATTTTTTTTCCTATTTTTAACTTTTTTTTAATATATATATATAGTGGGGCCCTCATGATTCTAGTTTGAAATGGAGAGGAGAGCCCAAGCGTGCATTGTTGTGGAAGCCTCTACACCTGCAAGTGCTATCGAGAAGCTCCAGGCCATGCGACAAGACAGCTCTTCATTCCATACGTGCATTCAAAATAAATTGAATTTATAATTATTTATTTATTGAATTAAAGCTATTTTTTTATATTTGATAATATGTAATAAAATATATAAAAGAACAATATATAAATATATTAAAATATATTATATACCTAAGTAAACTCTAACTAATAGATAATACAATATTCTCATAATCTTTATCCTAATAAAATTTATCTTAATTCCAAAATATATACTCCAAATTTACTCGGAGCGGAAACCAATTCTCAAATACTCTCAAATCTCAATTCTGATAGTTAATAATATTAATTATAAACTAAATTAAACTAATTAATTCATCTTTTACATAATTTTTTTTTTAAATTCCTCATTCTTAATCCATACTCTTGCATGTATGTTTTTCCACCATTTTTTTTAGTGTACTCAAGGTATTATTTTTGTTATGTCGAATTTCATTTTTATATTGGCGATAATTATTATTAATTAAACAAACTTTGCAATGTAAACAAATTATTATTATTTATCAATTAAGTATGATCTCATTAGTCTTCATATATATATATATATATTATTTTTTGGCGTTTTGGTTTGTAAGTATTCGAAGTCAAACTCTTACAAAATCTTAAAATAAAAAGTTATTGCTTTTTGATTTGGGTTTTGTCCCATTGGGATTTAAAGGATGGGGCCATCATTTTGTTAATTTGAATGTGATGGGATTTGATTTGAGGATGGTAGCGCCCATCCCTTGTTTGACCTTCACAGTGGGCCCCTAATATATCTAATAATTTAGGTGGAAAAAAAAAAATTAAGGTACTCTCCGTAGATTTAGATATCCCTTAAAATATATTATTTAAATTCAATCGAACATCATGCATAACAAAATATTCGAATCTTTTTCAAATTTGATTGAAATTTTATTTCTAATACTTGAATCCACTTAACACTATAAATATTATTTTATTTTTATAATATCTGGAAATAAAAATCATATATTTTGACTTGATAGTTATAATTAACATGTATAATTATAATATTATTATGCTTTATTTGGTAAATTGTAATATAATGTTTGTGCAATGTAATTAATGATATTTTTAGTGTAAAAAATTCACTAAAAATACATTTAATTACGTTACTTATATTTTAAATCATGGCTCCTCAAACTTAATCTTAGAGTACTAATTAAATAAATTACAACAGCAGATACTCAAATATTTCAACCCAAACTCAACTAAACTTGCTATGAGCAGTAAAAATATTACCTGAACTGCTCCAAATCCATTTATCGTCTACCTGAGTAAACTTGATCCATTGCGAGCCGTAGGGAAAACCTAAGACATATATATATATATATATATATATGGATCCATTGCGAAGCACGAAGGAAAACCTAAGAACATATTAACACTATAAATAATATAAAGAAAGAGCAGAGAGAGAGATTACAGTTACAGTAAGGATTCACAAATATTTTCCCAAGCCCAGCCCACAATCAAATGTAAGTTTTTAGTCCTCGCCCTCATTTGGATTAGCATTGTAAAGTTTGCTCGTCCATCTTCCCTAATGGACTGTAGCATGTAATAGAAAAAAAAAAAAAAAAACAACAAAAAAGAAAAAAAGAAAAAAACGCAAGGAGGATAGTCCAGCCCCGGCTCTATGAAAACAAAAAAAAGAAAAAAAAAAAAAACGCAAGGGATTAGTCATGCCCCGGCTCTATGGATCTATTTACGAATCAAACTAATAAAAACAAAGGTTTACGATGTCAAAATGGAATAGCGTATCGGGTTTAATACGAATCCGCTTAATAAATAACACAATTAGAATCAACACGAACACGATCCGTTTAATAATCGTATCAAATATTTAAACATAAACACGATATAGAAATTAAACGAGTGATACGAGCACGATATGTATAAGCCGTTTAATTAAATTGATTATATATGAGTCAAAAAATTTAATCAAATTTAATTAAAATATGTCATATTTGGATCAAAAACACAACATATATAATACATATAATTCACATAATCCGTTTAATAATGAAATTATATTTTTATTTTCAAATAAACAGGTTAGATGAGTCAATTTATGACATAACTCATTTAAACTCATGTCATATATGGATTATCTATTTATGACATAAACTTATTTAGACTCAATCCTAACCCGTTTAATTTCTGAGTTAGGCGAATCATGACTCATTTTGATACCCTACAGAGATTTTTAAATATTAATTTGATCTATAAGCGGGTCTATAAATTCAATCTAAGCAAGTCAATCACATAATAAATTAGTAAACCTTTTGAGTATTAGAGTGTTGGTTCATGAATTTAAGAGTCAAATGATTTATCTAATTTATAATTTATGTAATATTAATTTAAAATTCGAAGAATGTAAATTTAGTTTCCAATTTAACTTCATTTGGTTTATATAGATACACAATGTACACCCACACAGACATACATGGTGGTATGAAATGAGATTAGTTCTATTGACAACCAAGTTTGCCATGTGCCAACAGATCCTCTCAACAGGGAATCTTCCTTCTATTCTAACTATGGAAGTTTGTTTTAATAAAATTTTTTTTTTCTCATGAAAGTGGATGTCGTTTTGATAGTCAATTACTTGAAATGCATAAATATTATATTTGTAAATAAAATTATCCATTGGGATGCATAAAGCATGTGGGTAGGGTGCAAGACTTGTGTACGGGCAGAACATGCTTCTGGCCTCCTCAGGGCTATTTTGCAAGCACAATTTCCAATTAAAGGAAAGATGTTTGGAGGTTTTAGTATTGAAATTCATAGAAACACAGTCTTCAAACCATTATAAAAGTCACTATAAGGCTTTTTAACTTCTAAACATCTTATGCATCACCAATCCACACGTGGTCAAGTTTTTGATTGTTGAAACATTTATCATTAATTATTTTACAAATTAACGTTTGAACATTTTCCAAGTTTCCCCATTTTTTAGTGTGGTAGGAAATTTCACCAAATTATTAAATATTGTGAAAATAAAATTATTTTAATTGTAACGCCGGGCCAAGCTTCAACAACTACTCCCATTTACATTTCCTACTTCTTACATTCTTTATAGAATACAAAAAAACCACCGATAACTAGTGCAAAACCAAAGGGAGGAATCGAGAGAGTTTGGATCCTATCAGACTCTAAATTATTTTAAAAAATTTTCTTTATAAAATAGTATAATTTTTTTATTCAACCCTTTAATGTTTTATATTTTTTTTATCCTCCTAATTTTGAAGTTTATTTCCGCCCCTAGAATGGGTGGAACTCGAACTTTCTTACAACAATCTGAAACATAAATCTTAAACACCTAGGGATTCATTTGTTCCATTTTGCATTCTGGCATTGATTGAATTGTTCTAAAATACTAATGTTCAAGCCATGAGGTAGCGAATACATAACCATAGTTCTCAATACATGAGAAACACATTGAAAAGCTCCTGCAAACAAAGAAAAACCCTAATTGCTTTTCTCGTAGATCGTATGGCGGCAGACAGGAGGGAAACACACGTACCTTCCATTCCACGTCATTGTATCCATCTCCTTTAATCCTCTAAATCTATATTGGTTCACTCACCAATTAATGACTACTCTAAATTACTAATTTCGCTCTTTTTCCAACTAAAGTGCACAAAAAAATATTGTTATTGATAGTAATTAATTAATGCTTTGAGATTTTCGAAATCGTTGGTGCAATTGACACATGTGATGGCACGAGTGTTCATGCAAATTGATACTGTTATAATGTTAGTATGACTTTGTTTTTTTTTTTTGAAAACATTAAGAAGGTATTAATAAATTAATTAAAATTTGCCTACTTGAACATGATGGGAAAAGCGAATGTTGGGACTACAAAGCTATATTTGACTCTTGAACTGATCATCTGACTATAAATATCTAATTATGTGCCTTTATTTATTTTCTCTTTTTTATTAAGGGACTAAACAAGGTGAAGATATGTTAATGGCTTCCCTAAGCATGAAGTTCATATGCTTAGCCCTAGTGCTTCTTTTGACTTCTGCATGCCTCTTCACTGCTCATGCCCATGGAGGTACGTACATGGCTTTTTTTTTCTTAATAGTCAGAATTCTTTAAAATTGAAATCAAATTCTTGAAGAAAATGTAGTTTTTGGGTTATTGAATTTACCACTTTTAATTAATTTGCACTATGAAATAGACGCAGATTGCTCATCGTTAGGTTAGTTTTAGCAGAGTGGAATTGATATTCGAATGACGATGAGATTTTCATTTTACAGTTGTAGAAGATGATGCTGTTTCTTCAACTGAAAAGGTAGTCAATGAAATTTTTTATTACAATAATTAATTAATTTTCTTAAATATAAATTCCTTTTTCTTTCACTCTTGAGTTGATTTGCATGTGGTGGTAATTTCATGTCATGTAGGAGGAAGAAGTGTTTGTTACTGGGAGTGGAATTGGAGGGAGGAAATTAATGGTTGACAACAAGAGAGTGGATACTGAAGGCATCAATGCAGGAGTTGGAGTGACCGGAAACCCTAATTGGACAGCAAATGAAGAACTCCATGCAAAAGAAACAGGCAACAAAAGAAAATGGCAGAAAAAGCCAACTCATTTGCCTAAAACGGTAAAACAAGAAGATGGTTTTGTAGCTTTCAGTGCTGATTATCATGCACCTAGGCATCACCCACCCAAAAACAACTGAAGGAAAAAGGAAGTGTTTAATATAATAAAATGTAAGAAGATAGTTTCTGTTTCTTTTTGGAAGAAGATAGTTTCTGTTTTTTTTGCTAGATTATATACCCCTTTTTGTGACCAATCTGTTTGTTTATTACTCCTTCTTATCAAGTGATTGTCAGATGGATGTAATTGCAAAGCTTCCTTTCCTTTTTTCTTTTTGGAGTACCCTTTTTTAAGTGTCTTCAAGTAATATCAAGAGATTCACTTCCTTTAAACGTTAAAGTCTCGAACATATCCAGGAAGAAGATTTAAATTAAAACATATTTTTTACGTTTGATATAAAAAAAAAAATGAATTTTAGACATAAAATTCATTTGTAAATAAATTTTTCGTGTTTAGAATAAATTTAAAATTGAAAATTAATTTACTTTTATTTTCTAAAATATAACTAGCATAATAATTTTAAAAGATTAGGAGGATGAATAGTTTTACCATCAACCTTTTGAGTCGTTTAAATTTATAAAATTTATTAGAAAATTCCATATTATTTTGTAAAATTTAGTTTAATTATATTTAAATTAATTTATAAAATTTAAATCTTCGTCATCTTTTCGTATCAACATATGAAAATTTAAATATATCAATAAATTTCACTAAATCTTATGAACTTTATTTATTCGAAACAAGAGTTAATGATAATCTTATTTACAAAAGTAGTACGATGTTTTGGTAAACACATGGAGAAATAGAAGCGTGTATCTACTATATATGATATTTTGAAAAAGAAATAACCTATTGAAATATATAATTTTTTTTGAAATAAATGATTTTTAAATGAACAGCTGAGGAGTTTTCCAAATTAAGTAGGAAAATAATTGAAGTTTAGGAGGACTATATAACCCTATTCAGTTAATCTGTTCACTCCACTAAATTAGTTTTAATAATATACTTTTCACCTTGTCTATATTGATTAATTAATTAGACTCGTGATTTAATATTTTTTAATGATAAATTTAAATTTAAATGTGATGATTTCTAATTAAATTTAAATATGAATCCTTAGTAATATCTGTCTTTTTATTAATTTTAATATTAAAATATTTTTATTTTTATTTTTACTATTAAATACAAATATTAACCATCATCATAGTAATTGAGTTCAAATATTAGTTATTTAATGTCATAATTTAATTGGCGATATTAGGATTATAATTAAATATTAGTTCTTCTAATGTCAATTATAAAATATTAATCCTTAAAATTTTTTAGTTGAATTGGTAAGTTCAAAAATTAATGTTTAATAACGTCATTAGTTATAACTAGTGAGATAGGTCTTTTCAGATTTAAAATAATATTTAAATAAAATAAGTGGTTCTAAATCATATGTCCAAACCAAACCATATGCTGCACATACGAAATATAAAAAAAAAAAAAAAAAAAAAAAATTGGTAAGGTTCAAAAATTAATGTTTTTAATAACGTCATTAGTTATAAACTATAGAATAGGTCTTTTCAGATTTTAAAATAATATTGTGAGAGATAATAAATAAGGTTGGTATCTAATTTCATATGTCCAAAGCCAAACCATATGCTGCACATACGAATATAAAAAAAAAAAAAAAAAAAATCCCTGAAAATTCCATATAACATTTTGAAAAAAAAAAAAAAAAAAAAATCAAAATCCATATAACATTTTGATATATAATCATTACATTTCAAAAAATCTAGCATTTCATATGTATAGTTTTCTCCTTGTATTCAATTTTTTTATTAAAAGACATTACATGCCTAAAATGGCCAAAAGCCATGTTTTTTATATTCAATTGCAATTATAATATAATCTAACAAGATAATAAAGTCATTATCTGATAATAAAGGTAAATATCTTTTACATCCGGATTTGACTTTCACCTTCATCCTTAGGTATGATCACGGTACTACAATCGCAGATTCTAGTTACAATAAAGGTGAAACTGAAACCGAACTGTTTTTAGACAATTTTTACGATGGTTTTGGACTGTTGATTTTAATTATATTTCGATTTAAAAATGAAATTAGATTATTTTTTTCAAGTTTTTTAAAATTATATTTTATATTTATAGCTCGAATAAATAATAATAATAATAATAATAATAATAATAATAATAATAATAAATAGTATTGAAAAAGACTACCCAATTTAATAAAAAGTCTTAGAATTTATTTTCAAAAATTATAATAAAACAAAAAGACAAAATCTATAGTTTCTTTGAAAATATTTTTTCATGGTTCTAAATTGAAACCAACAATTCTTGATTTAAAAAAATAAGAACCAAAGTTTAACTATAAATATACAATTTTGATTGTGATTTGAAACCAAACATTGTTGACCGTGGTTTGATATTGATTTTAATGTGTTTGATTTAGTTTGAAATTGAAGTGTGGTCATACATATTCACCCCTTTAATTTATAATCTCGTTGAAGACCACTAAATTTTCTTACAGAATTAATAGATAAATATCACAATCAAATATGGAAAATCATCTTGCTAATCGAAAATTATTAAATTTCTTAGAAAAATAATAAATAAATGTTGCAATTAAATATAGAAAAAATTAATAATGTACTTGACAATTTTTAATAAAAGAATAAACTATATAAATTAATTAATTCTATGTGTAGCAACTATGCATCAAATAGTGACATTTTTCCTCTGGCAAGGTACAAATAAGGGTCAATTTATTTTTGAAAATATTTTTCACAACTTGTTTTCTATTATTTTATTAAAATATTGAAAATTAATTAAAAAATATCATTTAAATAGCAAAACAAAAAATTAGTTGCCAATACTAAGGCAAAAAGTCTTCAACATGTTGTTTATAGCGAACAAAAAAAATTCTTTGTAGCAAAATTTAAATAAAATCTTAATAACCAAAGAAAATAAAATTTACAACAAAATAAATAAATTTTATGGTGATTTGTTCCTTGTAAAAAGCAATTACATATATAGTAGTATGATAGAACAAAACTTTCACAGTAGGATTCTAATTACTAAGTTTATAATATATATTTTTTTTTCTAGAGAGAGTAAACATATATATACACGCGCGATAAGAAAAAACTTCCATAATATGATTTTAATTTCTAATTAAAATTAAATAAAACAATTATGATTAATGATATATACTGAATTTAATATTAATGACATATAATTTAATTTTATATCACTTTTAATAATATCTATAATATCAATATCCACCGTTATAAATTGTTTTTAACTTAACATGTTCTTTATGTTTGTAAAAAATTTAATATAGTAACATTTTTTACGTTTGTCCAAATTATGTTAATATTAATATAATATATATTACTTAATAATTTTTAATTAAAATAATTTTCTTATTACACAATCAATTTCCTAAATTAAAATTTATAATTACAATATTTTACAATAATAATTTTTTATTTCATTTATTAGCCAATATAATTTAGATCTAAATAGAAAACCAATGTGACCAATCAAATTAAATTATCTTTACTTTTTTAACCAATAACATGAGAAACCTTAAAGATTTTTTTGTAATTTATAAATTGTAGGAATACTTTCACCCTATCTAAATATAAACAAGAATAAAATTATTTTCATTTGCAGTTATTTTTTTTTGGTAACGGAATCTTGACTAAAACAGAAAGTAATATGTTCAATTAAAATAAATATTTTTTTATTTATTTCTTTAGACAATAATATTTAGATTTAGGTAAAAAATCAAATTTAAATATTGCTTAAATGTAATTTATTTTTTAGCCAATCACATTAGAGAGAAAAAAATCACGTTAGACAGCAAATTATCATTATCAAATTTATATCTTTTTTATGATATCTTCAAGAAAAAAAAAAAAAAACAAATTTAGGTATATAAGAAGTGAAAAAAATGTGGAGGGTTGGACTAAATAGTGGCAATGTGGGCCAGACACAGGCCCATACACCTATCTCCCATTTATTTCAAAATCGTTAAGTATTTCCGTTCATCACTTGACTTTTTATTTAAAAAGACAAAAAAAAAAAAAAAAAAAAAAATGTGGAGGTTTGGACATAAAAATATGGCAATGTGGGCCAAGACAACAGGCCCCATAACACTAACTCCCTTGAATTTATTTCAAAATCGTTAAGTAATTTTCCTTCATCACTTTGACTTTTTAATTTAAAAAAGACAAAAAAAAAACAAAAAAAAAAAAGTCAAGCAGGTAAAGTCAACAACTATCTTTTTAAAAAAAAAAAAAAAAAAAAAAAAAAAAAAAGTCAAGCAGGTAGTCAAGCAACTATCTTTTTTATAGTCTACTATAATTAATAAAAAACAAAAAAAAGGCAAAAATATCATTTCCATCACCAAATTCCATAGCCGTTTTGAGCCACAGCATCTCCTAACAATCGATTTAACATGTCCGCCTCCACCGCTACCGCCGGCGAGAAACCGCCGCACATCCTAGTCTTTCCCTACCCGGCTCAAGGCCATACCCTCCCTCTCTTAGACGTAACTCACCAACTCGCTTGTCGTAACTTTACCATCACCATCATAACCACACCCAAAAATCTCCCTACTCTCTCTCCTCTCCTCTCTACTCATCCACAAATCCAAACTTTAACTCTCAATTTTCCATCTCACCATTTACTTCCAGCAGGTGTTGAAAACGTCAAAGAGCTTGGTAACGCCGGCAATTTTCCAATAATGGTTGCCTTAAGTAAGCTTTATGATCCAATTATCCAGTGGTTTCGATCACACTCTAATCCTCCTGTTGCTCTCATTTCTGATTCCTTCCTTGGATGGACTATGCACTTGGCTAATGATATGCAGATCCCGAGATTCGTTTTCTGGTGCACTGGTGCGTTTCTTGCTTCTGTTCTTGATCATTGTTGGAATCATCTGGAGACGGTAAAGAGTTTAGATGTGGTTGATTTTGTTGACTTGCCCAGAACTCCGTCGTTTAAGGCGGAGCATTTGCCTTCTGTAATCCAGTTGTACAGGGATTCGGATCCCGATTGGCGGATTGTTCAGGAAGGAATGGTTGCTAATAGCCTGAGTTATGGCTATATCTTCAATAGCTTTGATGCTGTAGACAGCGAATATTTCGGCTTTTTGAAGAGAAAAATGGGTCACGAACGGGTTTATGGAGTTGGCCCGCTATGTTTGTTGGGTCCAGATCACTCCAGCAGAGGAAACCCGGATTTGAATTCGATTGCCCATGTGTTTGATTGGTTAAATGGATGCCCGGATGGATCCGTGCTCTATGTTAGCTTTGGGAGTCAAAAATTGATGAGTAAAAGACAAATGGAGGCATTGGCTTCGGGTCTTGAAAAGAGTATGGCCCGATTCATTTGGGTAGTGAAAACAGGTACAACCCAGCAAATGGGAAATGGGTATGGGGTAGTACCCGATGGGTTTGAGGAACGGGTAGCTGGGAGAGGGATAGTAATGAGGGGTTGGGCACCACAGGCTATGTTACTGAGTCACCGAGCTATAGGTGGATTTCTGAGTCACTGCGGCTGGAACTCGGTGCAAGAGGCTATTGCTAATGGGGTTTTGATATTGGCTTGGCCTATGGAGGCTGACCAATTTGTGAATGAGAGGCTGTTGGTGGATTACTTGGGTGTGGCAGTAAGAGTGTGCATGGGGGCTGACTCGGTGCCTGACTCGGAAGAATTGGGGAAAGTGATTGGTGAGTCAATGAATGGAGTTGTACGTGAACAAGAGAAAATGAGAGCTAAAGAGTTGAAAAGCAAAGCAATTGAAGGTGTGAAAAATGGCGGCAAGTCTTTGGGAGACTTGGATGCACTGGTCAATGAAATTATGCAAATCAGAAGACAAAAAAGACTAATATAATTTGTTGAGGGGGTGTAACTAGAATTTAAATAAAAAAAAATCGAGTAATATGTATATTTTTCCTAGTCAATAATGTATTCGTGTCTTTTGTTTTTTTTTTTTTTTTTTTAAGTGTACTATTTTACAATTTTAAATCATTGTTTGTTGTGCTACTATTTTAAAATTTGAGGTAGAAGAAACTTTCCAATTCAATTTTTGATTTCAAAAGGAAGGAGTAGTTCTAGTTCTTATAATCGAAATTGATTAGAACGTGGCCACAATTCTTGTTCAATTCCAAAATCATGTGTTCCAATTCTCCTTGTTAATGCTTCAATCTCTTAGAAAGTAATTATTTTATTTTTGATCTTTTATAAATCTTAGTTAAAAACAAAATTTTCCTTTATATAATAGTAATTATTAATAATATATATATAAATTTTCCCCTTATTATAGAGAGTGACTCCAAATCTACAATTGACTTTATCACCTCCTCAGATTCAGCCGATAAGCCTCAATTGGCCAAACAGGTCAAGAATATCTCGGGATCCAATGTCTCTTTCTGCCATGTCTACCGAGAGGGAAATCAAGCAGCTAATTTCTTGGCTCGTTTCAGCAGATTATTCTTAGTTAATTGTAATTTTCCCACTTTTACTTCTTTGCCTCACTTACTAAAAGGCATTGTAAATTCAGACATTTTGGATTCTCCATATATAAGATATAAATAATCCCCCCCAAAAAAAAAAAAAAATATACCTAAATGTCCTCTTCTGCCATAGTACTTTCACACCGAACGAGGTAATAAATACAAGGCAGCTAATTCTCTTTGGCTTCTGTGTTCAAGCACGATTATTACTTAATTAATTGTTGAAGGTATTTCGCGCACCTGTTTTTACTTCTTTGCCTCCGACTTACTAAACAGGCATAATTGTAAATAGTATCAAGACATCTTGGATTCCTTTGCTCCAATATATAAGATATAAATAATGACTCCCGCCAAAAAAAAAAAGAAACTATAATAATATATTAAAAAAAAAAAAAATATATATATATATAAATTTTCTTTGTATATACTAGATGAAAATAAAAAAAAAATACAAATAAAAATTGGATGTTTTATTTTCATAAAAAAAAGTATATTTTACTTGTATATGTTACTCTTCCTTATTCGACTAATGGTTTTTTTTTTTTCCAAAAAACTAAAGAAACTCAAATCACCAAATTTAGAGGTAAATATTTGATTGGATTAATTTAGTCAATTCAATTCAGTAATTAAATATTTAAATATTCAGTTGATGGTTTGAAAGAAGAAATTTAATTTGGAGATCGGTTAAAAGTTTGATTGGAAGTTAATCAAATTAAATTACTCAAATTAATCGGCACCAAAAATTAGATTGTTTTATTAAGTAGAAATAATAGAATTTAGTAATAAATTTCAATTAAATTCAATTTATTAGTAATATTGGTCAAATTTGATCGGTTAATTAGATTTTTTTATTTTGGTTCAATTAATAATCAAAATTAATTTGATTAAAATGATTCATTTAAATTCAATTAGATGATTAATTTGATTAAATTCAGTTAGATCAAAAAAATTTAATTAATTCAGTTTAATTAAAAATGCTATTCGTATTGATGGAATACCTTGATTTAATGGTTTTTCTTTTTTTTTTTTTTTTTTTTTTACCTTGATTTAGAGAATGGTGTTTTCTCTTCTTTTTTTTTTTTTTATTTTTATGCCAAGATAAACTCTCCCGTCGAAGAAAAGATGAAATGCCCGATTATATATGTTCAAGAATGAATCTGCATTCTATAATCAAAGTTGCCATTTCGAGATAGAACTATTTGCAAATTGGTAGTTGGCTACGAAAACAAATTTGGAAGATAGTAAGCAAATCTTTGATTATTCTTGAACGACAGTTAATACGTGTTGTTTTTTTTTTTTTTTTTTTTAGCAAGATACTCCCGTCGAAAGATGATGCGATTATATATGTCAAGAATGACATCTGCATTCTAATAATATTCCATTTCATAGAATCTATTTGCAAATTGGTAGTTCTAAAAACAAATTTGAGTGTACAAATCTTGATATTTGAGAATTATAGTGTGCCATGATCAAAACATATCAAACTTTTTTTTCTTTTTTGAGTACTAGAAACAAGATCCGAACTTAAATCTATTATCAGATTGTATATGCACTTACTGCTAAAGTATGTCTTGATATGCAAAGCATATCACTGCGGGCAATTTTGCTTTCCTTTGAACAACTGTTGGACCAAATCATACAGTTGTTAAAACTAAATTGACAGTAAACCTCCACCAATAACTTGAAATGTGGAAATTATAAAAAAATAATACTTGGAAAATAAAGATTGCTTGATTAAAATTAAAAAGAAAATTCTTGGAATTGAAAAATAAAAATTGGCAGAATACTTTGAAAAGTAAATTGATTATGTTGGGAAATTATATCCTTCATATCTCACACCCCTCGTTTCTATCATGTTGCAAATCGCTTGAAAATAGTATCCTTGTCATGTCATTTCAGAAGGGTGGGCACTTGTAGATGACTTGTTGAAGGATTTCTTGCAATCTAAAGACAGTATTCATGGATTTCCATCTCCATTTTCATAGTGTTTTCTGCTAATAATAATATCTCTCGTACCGTAAAGCGTAACGTTTTTTTACTCTTCTAGCAATATGCGTTTTTCCAGAATCGAACTTATTTTTTTATCTTTAGAGGTATTGAAGTCGCTTAACAGTTCAATCAGCACCTTATTGATTATAAAATGCACTTGTTGGTTGCACTTACATGGTCTCAAATACAAACATAATTTAATTGTAAGGAGAGAAGAGCACATCATTTACCAATGCACACCTTACACTAAACTTGTGCTAGTAAACAAAGCCCAACTGAAAGATATTCTTATTAGTAAATGCATAGTCCATCTACATATAATCTTGACAATGTAAGAAGAAAAACAAAAAATGTGGGATGAGATTTCTTTATCTATGCAGGCAATAGGTATGCCTCAAACCTTCAGGAGTACAAGTTAAGAATAACTTGGTCCCATTATTACACTTGAGCTCAGAAAAACACTCTGCAACTAAAAGTTCATACAACAATTTGGAGATTAAAGTGTGATTAGAAGTGCAATTGCAATTAATTAATTAATTTCATACTAACATGTTTATAATAGGACAACAAAAATAAATTCACATAGCTATCTAGCCAGCTAGAGAAAAATTTTGAAATAATTAAATATATACAAGAAAAAAAAGAGTTAATTTATAACATTAAAAGGTTTTTAATTGATGGTAGCAACTATAAATATATATGGACATTAATGAAATATTCCTGGTACTCATGACTGATGACTCCACATAATTAGAAATATGAATTGAATAGTAATATATTTGATGGAAGGATAATGTGGTCCTGAAAATTAATTAGACTAATTAATTTAATTAGTCAAAATCATAAATTTTATTAGTAAACAAAGTATTGAAATATAGATAACCTTAAGACTGAACTACTAGACAAGAAACAACAACCATAATTAAAGAAAATTGCAAGAATCTTTCTCTACTACCAATTATTTTGTTTTCTTTTTTTTTTCAAGTCAAATTTCTACAAATTCACAAGCTTCATTTTTTTTTTTCATATATCAAGTCAAATTTCTACAAATTCACAAGCCTTCATTTTGTTCGTTTTTTCATATATATATTTATATAGTAATATAATATATTAATATATTATTATTTGCGTTTCTTTGCCTGTAAAAACCCAAGGAAGCAAATATGAGGAGAGCTCAATCGCATAATATATTTGCTTGTCTTGCTTAAAAACCAAGAAGCATATAGAGAGTAATCCATAATGAAATCCACCTTTCACCAACTTAGTTGCAGCATTAGACCTCTCTCACACAATCACACTTCTTAAAAACCCTGACCTTTATAAACTCTTCTCATCACATATAAATCAAACCCTTATTTTATTTTATTTTATTTTTTCTATCTACCCCAATTTCAGACAGAACACCACTTAATTTGTTCTTTTGTCTCTTTCATCTCCATCTTCTGTTTGCTAAGCCTAACAATATGTCCAAAGCAACTCTAGTAAGGAAACAAGTTGTAGAGAAGAAGAACATTTTCATGAAAGAAAAAGAGATAAAGCCAAGCAGCCAAGGCTTTTTCTCTAAACACCTCAAGAAAGTGTACCCAATCGGGTTAAACAGAAGCAACTCTTCTCTTTCTTTATCATCACTATCATTATCTCTATCGCAGAACTCCAATGACTCTTCTCTTACAGATTATTCAACTCCACTTGAACAGAAGATATCTTTAGCTCTTCGTTTAATTTCTCCGCCGCCAGCAAGAAGAGAAGCACCACCACCACCTGTCTCCAAGAATGTTCAACAACAGCAGCAACAGCAACAGAGCATGCAATCTCAAGAGTCTAATGGTGGAGAGTTGACGAGGTGCAATTGGATTACAAAGAACAGTGGTAAAAAATATAAATTTTTCCTTGCTTTTTATACAGCGCATGATGTTAGGGTTAAAGTTATTTCCTCGGTATATCTATCTTGTCTCTAACAAGTCCAATTTTTTTTTTTTTTTTTTTTTGCGCATGACTGGCTGTTAGGGTTAAAGTTGTGATTTCTCTCGGCTATAATCTATCTTGTCTCTAACCAAGTACCAACTAAAGAAATTTTCTTTTTTTTAAGTCCAATTTTTTTTTTTTTTTTTTTTTCAATTCTTGATCCTTACTAAATATAGAACTTTATGCATATGATACCTTTTTTTTTTTTTTCACGGGTATTCTTGTACCTTTTGGATATAAAACAAATTTCATTTCAGGTTTATCTCTCCACGTAAGTGCTTCATTTAGGGTGGCCATAGTACGGTTTTAGGAACGGAATCGTCGGTTCGAACAGGTTCCGAACCGTAACTGGAACAGGCGGGAACCTGAACCGGTCCGAACCGAAACTGAAACCGGAGATTTCTGGTTCGGTTTCCATTCCAGATTTGTGGAACCGTAAACCGGCGGTTCCACAAAACCGGTCAAAACCGGATTGGAACAGCTGGTTCTCTGGCCGGTTAGAACCGCCAGTTCGAACCGGCTGTTCTAGCCATTAGAAACTGTCAGTTTTGTGTTTTTTTTTTTTTTTTTAATTTTTTTTTTTTAATTTTGTTGTGAAATCCTCAAACTTTTTAAAACAAAAAAAATACAATTCAGTTTGAAAAAATTTTTTTAAAAAAAAATAACATTTAGTTCCAAGTCTTTAAAAAAATAAATTTAAATTGAAACCATTTTTTAATTTTTTTAGGTGTAATTTTTTTTACAAAATAACTTTCACAAATGTTATTAAAATTTTGAAAACGTCTTCAAAATTTAAATTTAAATTAAATGCGATTTACTGAAAAAGCGGTCGGAAAATTGGATCGGAACCGTCGATTTTGATACCGTACCGGGACCCGGACCGGAACCAAAATTTAGGTGTATTTTTTTTACAAATAACTTTCACAAATTTATTAAATTTTGAAAACCGGTCTTCAAAATTTAAAATTTAAAATTATGCGATTTACTGAAAAACCGGTCGGAAAATTGATCGGAACCGTCGATTTTGATACCGTACCGGGACCCGGAACCGGAACCAAAACCGTTCGATTTCAAACCGGAACCGGAACCAGAAATTTTCGGTTCGATTCCGATTCCAGTTTTTTTGGAACCGGAACCGCCGGTTCCGGAACCGTAGCCACCCCTGCTTCATATCATGTCGGTATATTCATATCATTTTTATGTTCTATGACTTTTACAGAACTGACTCTAGTAACATGCACCATTCAAATAAATAATGGCATTGGAGATTAATTTTAAGATAATTTTAAAAAATTTGACCGTAAAAGATTAATTTCTTTCGAATGAGTCACTAAATTTTAATTATTTTTTCAATTTGATCATATTGAGATTTTCCGCTGAATTACTCAAATTAAATAATTGAGATAATGGTTGATATCAAAATTTAATGTATAGTTTCTTGGGACGAAATAGGATTTGCTTACATCAACAAAGTCCTGCTAAGAAATTATAAAAAGGAGGAGTCTGCAGTGCATGAGATGGTTGCTTCATTGCTAAACCTTTGAAGATTTTCTTAAGTGGTTAGAACGTAAAATCTCTTGGAAATCCTAAAAATAAAGGAAATGTTAATGATTGGTAAAGTTTTCTTATTAAGAAATTAAGAGACTTATTGTATTTTCTAGTAGCTGAACCAACCCAAAACTATATGTTATGACAATTAAAGCTATATTTGGTTAGCGGGTAATAGGCATTTCTAATATTGTTTACTATATTTTTAATTATACTATTTTATTGCAATTTATATTTTATGAGCAGTAATGAAATATAATATAATTAAAATGTACAATTTTTTATTTTTTCTTTATAAAAACATAATTAATTATATACATTTTAATGTGTGTAGATGAAGTATATGTCGCATTTCATGATGAATGCTGGGGAGTTCCGGTCTATGACGATAAGTAAGTGATTAATATTATTGGAACTAAAAAATAGATATTATATATTTAATTAATATTCAAAGGATTGTACCTACTAATAATTGTGGAGTGGCATACCCACTTAATTAAATATTAATCAGAGATTGTAATCTAATCCAAAACAGCAAATTGTTCGAGCTACTTGCCTTGTCTGGTATGTTGATGGACTACAATTGGACTGAAATTTTAAAAAGAAGAGAATTATTCAGGTAATTTTTTTTTTTTTTTTTTAAATCATTTTGTTATTTTATTATATAAAAACTGAATTATGGTTTTTTGATAAATAAATCCATAGAGAAGCTTTTGCTGGATTTGATCCTAAGATTGTTGCCAAAATGGGAGAGAAGGAAATCACAGAAATAGCCTCTGACAAGACAATCATGTTGGCTGAGACCAGAGTTAGGTGCATAGCAGACAATGCCAAATGCATAGTGAAGGCAAGTCTTTTAACAAATATTTAAAACCTATTTTGGTATGAATGAAATTTTATAAAAAGAGAAAATTGTATTTAATATATTCACATATTAATTAATATTCATCAATTAATTTTAATTGGGTTTTAAATGTTTTGCAGATTGAGAGGGAATTTGGATCATTTAGTAGCTATATGTGGGGGTATGTGAATTACAAACCAATGATCAATAGATACAAATATCCAAGAAATGTTCCATTAAGAACTCCCAAAGCAGAGATAATTAGCAAGGATTTACTGAAAAGAGGATTCCGGTTTGTCGGACCGGTGATAGTTTACTCGTTCATGCAAGCAGCAGGGTTGACGATTGATCATCTTGTTGATTGTTTTAGGTATGGTGAATGTGTAAGTCTAGCAGAAAGACCATGGAGGCATATCTAATTATTTCCAAACTCTTTCAAGTGAGATTGTGAGAGCTCTCCAAAGGGATAATGTAAATACAAGTGATTTGGATGGTCTTTTTAATTTAATTTTTAGTTCTAATCTTGTGTTTTGTATGATAAAATCGGATAGAAAACATGTAATTGGGATTTTTAATAGCTCATTTTCTTTTCTTTTCTTTTTTTATTGTCAATGGTCATCTTTCAATCAATTAATAGATGGTTTTGATTTGAGTATAGTTTTATTTTAAGGCTCGAATTGATTCGGCCAAAAATTATTTAAAAATAATATCGATAATAAGGTGTTTTTCTTAGTTTAATAATCAATCAATCCATAAATTATAAGATTTTGAAATCAAAATTAGCGCTAAGATTAAACTCTAAATTGAAACTGGAGTTAAAAATCAATTTAATATGTATATATAAAATATTTATATATATTTTATGTATATTCATTTTCTTTGTACTGATATCTTTGGTAGAATTCCGGTGTAACAGCTCTTTTTTCCTCCTAGAGCCAAACCTAGACCCAGCTGTCCAAGTTGATGAGAGTTTGCCCATAGCTCTTCCCAAAAGTAAACCAGAAAGGCCCATTAATGACCCAAGAAGCAAGCATTGTTTTGAGCCCATAAGGGACAAATGTTGGGCTTGGACTTCAATTACGGCCTAATTTGATGTATATATTAGTTTAGTTACTAAATTCTTTTCAAAGTGAATTTCAAGGAATTAAATTTGCAACTTTACCTTAGCAAAACTTAATGTTTATGATTCTGCAAATATGAGTAGCTCAATATTGCGGAATAAGGTTGTGGAATACAACTTCTTAAGTAGCTTCCATAGTGGCCGAGGTGAGACGCAAGGCCTCAATCGAACGATTCAATTCAAAGAGCATGGTCTGCATCTTCACTGCTTTCTCCTCGAGCGCCTCAATGCGCTTTTTGGCCTCTTGCCATTTAGGAATAATTGTTGGCTCACCAACAATCACATTCTTTTCTATAAAAGCAGCAAGCTCTTCCACCCACTTCTCTAAAGCTTCAACACGGAAGAATTTTGTCATTTTAATCACTCAATCACGCACCAAAACCGGACCGTGTGACGCTTGCTTGGCACACTCTCAAACAAGCCAGTTAAGGATATCAATTAGTTATCTGCAAGCCAATAATGGGTGTTAGAACAACATAATACCGATATACATAAGCATGGGTTCAAATATAGAACAATTCAAGCATCACCGAGGAACATATAACAAAGCATAGCACAACATCACACATAGGGGCAAAATGGTAATTCTTATTTATATATATCAAATATTACATCGAGACAATTAAGATTACAATAAGGCAACCAATGGCATCTTCCATAGGCGTAGGAGCACCTATGAAGAGCCGGGACAAGGACTCTAACATCCAAGTGACTTTGAGCGTCAAAACGTTAAACATTATTTTTTATAGTGTTTAAACTAGCTTTTAAAGTTAAGATAGCATTATGAAATATTTAGCCTTTTAACATTTTATAAAAATCTACTCAAAACACATAAACGCTGTTAAAATAACTAACAATTAATTTTACCCAGACATTCTAAAAAAAAAGGTTGATAAGACATTAACATATCCTTTTACATCATACTCTATCTCGATATTGTATGGAGGACCCCTTTCAAGCTAAGTTTAGTTGACCTTTCTGCAATCTATTCAAATCTGTTTATTTTAATATTTCTTTTCTATATCCTCAATGATTCCAACTTACTTAATATTATCACCCAAGATGGTGGCCTAGTAGTAAAGCCGTTCATCATTCGTCTGCTTGATCCAGATTTAATCATCCACGATAATATCCTGTTATGTATGAATATTGGCTCTACTATCTAGAAGCATAGCCCGCTTTGTGGGCTGCCTTAGGCCGAGCTCTATTTTCGTTGGCTGAGGATCGAATGCTACGATCCTGCAGAAATGAGGTAGTGTCTATCATTAGTGCTCGGGAGTCGGTGCGCCTTATACGGGTGTCTTAAATCGAGATATTAATACCTTACCAGTGGCCCGAACCGACGGGATAGGACTAACAACCTAGTAATCCTTCTTTTTGTTCTAAAAAAAACTTACCTAATATTCATATATTCATTTCCTAGTAATCTAAACTTTTAGAGATTCCCAAACAGTGAGCATACGAGTACCATAAATTATATATTTATAAATACAATTTTAGAGTTGTATTATGATATAAAGAAATTTAATATTTTATAATAAAATTTTATGCCTAATATTTCGTATTTGTTGATTAATAATTTAACTTTTAGACATCGTTATGGATGCTATATTGACGTTATCATGTACATGTAATTATATTAGAAAATATAATAGTATTTATACAGTTTGATAATATTACTCCTAATAGAGTTTTTTATTTAAATATTTGTTATCACACAAATACAAATATATTTTTTCAACCAAATAAGATCGAAAATTCATATATGTTCGTTTTTGTCATAATTGGCATAACTTCATTATAAGTTTTTTAACAACACAATTTTATTATCAATCTATAATAATTTTAAATTTTTTTAAAATAATAATAATAATAATAATAATAATATTTTTGTCAACAAATAAGAATCGAAAATTCATATATGTATCGTTTTTGTCATACATTGGCATAAACCTTCAGTTCATAAGTTTTTTTACCAACACAATTTTTATTAATCAATCTATAATAATTTTAAATTTTTTTTTAAAATAATAAATGATAATCATAATAAATTAAATTTTTAATGAAATGAATTTCATTATTAATTTATTATTAAATAAATCAACTAAAGATAATTTTAAAATTCATAATTAGTTGAAAAAAATATTATCCATTAACTATCTCAATTAAATTTTCATGTATTATAATAATAATAATAATAATAAATTAAATTTTTAATGAAATTAATTTCATTATTAATTTATTATTTAAATAATCACTAAAGATAATTTAAATTCATAATTAGTTGAAAAAATATTATCCATTAATATCTCAATTAAATTTTCATGGTATTATTAAATTAGGAGAATGTAGTAATATTAATGACATTATTAAATTTTCATTAATTATTGAGAAAAAGGAAAGCAAAAAAGTTTTAATATTAATGATATTGTTATTATAGCTCCATCAATGGAGAAAATAATAAATAACTGAGTAAGTGAAGCTACATTCGATACACAAAATTCAATGAAACAAAGAATGCAATAGAGAAATGAATGAAATAGGAATAGGAATAGAAATAAGAGTTTTTTTTTTTTTCTTTTAAAAGGGAAAAAGAATTATTTTCTTCTCAAATTCATATACGATCTGGCAATAGATCCAAATTCGAATATATCATGTTCGAATATATTTGGTGTGCATGTACTTTAACTTTCCCTTCCTCCCACTCATTCTCCATGTGAGTGTTAGCTTAGGTCTTAAAAAACAAAAAAGCACATTACATTGAGTAGTTAGTTTGAGTTTCAATAATGAAGATAAAGAAAGGTTGTTTTAGGGTTATTGAATTGAAGAAGCTGCTTTTTTGTTCACATGGTCAGATGTCTTTTTTTAAGACCTCCATAATCAAATCTTTGCCTATCTTAATTATTAATTTCCTTCAAAGAAGAGACAATCAGACAAAACCCTAGCCCCACCCTTTGTTTTTCTATCAACCATTATTTTATCTTCTTCTTCAATCCATTTATAACTCTAAAATAGAGCCCTCTTGCATGGACAAGTGTTAATATCAAATTATTTATCAGATAGGAAGAATCTCAGATTAGGCTGCCACGTTGGTCACCTCTCAAACCAATTACCAAATTAATTAATTATTCTCCTAATTTAATTTATTAATAATCGAGTTCAAAACATTCTTTCAACTAATTTAGTAAATAAACATATCTAAATAATTCAGTAATACTAAAATTATTTTCAGGATTGTACGATTATGAATTATTTTTAATTTCAACCAAGACTAAATTTTAAGAAGAAGGGTATATAAAGAATAAGATTAATTAGAATCAAGATGCGGTTGAATCAGTAAAATAGATTGTCATTTTAAATTAAATCTAATTAAATAGTTATTTTTATATAACATTTATAATTTAAACCGGTGTATAAACAACAACTACTACAACGTCTTATAAGATTAGGTATTCAAAATCTAGAGTTAAGAGGATTTTACCACTCTAGTCCAAACATGAAAACATGCGTGCGAAGAAAAGAAAATGTTAGATGTACAAGATAAGATTAGACATTTGGGAAATTCTTTTTGTTTTATGAATATGAAATTTAAACTGCTAGTCAATATTAAGCAACAAACTAATATCATAATTACTAAAGATGGAGAAGGGCTGCCTAATGTAATGCCAATACACAGAGTCAGATGAGACATACACCAAACTCTTTTGTGTTTATCTCCTTTTCTTTTTTATGAGATAACTTTGATTTGGTAGGCATGAAAATGACTTTGACTATATTTTGTAAAACAGTGAAGAGCATAAGACTGCTCCCTTCTCCAAAGCACTTTTATTCATTTGATTTGAAGAGATACTTAACTGTCTTATTGCTTTTTCAAAAGTTACTTGCAAAAAGGAAAGCTTGTCTAAGGAAACTATTAAGTTATCCAATAGTTCTCATGTAGTAAAAAATTAGTTTTGTATTTTCTTTCACAAATTTTATTTAAATTACTTCATAAAACAACTTTGATTTTACCATACAATCACATCAACTACAATATCTTGTATTCAGGCGATATTAGCAGACGTTCTATTAGGGTTTACTAAATTTTTTTTTTATTAAGAAAGGGGTCGGGCCCCAACATATGATGTTAGTTTGTCAGTTGTTAAAATCTCTCTGGCTTTCTTTGTCAGCATACACAAAATTTTCTTGCACGTTCTCCGCTGTCCAAACAGTGGATTTCGAACCAACAATTATATATTTATTTATGGCATAAAAGACTAATGTCGTTTTCCAAATCAAAATTAATAATAACTAATAGTATCCCGCAAACACACAGCCAACAAAAGAAAAAAAAATAAAAATGGGTAACCGAATAATCTGTGGACGGCAGACAGATGTTTTATAACAGAAGACGTCATGGATTATCCGTAATAGTCTGAAGCTGACATCCTCTTATATTTTCGCAGGAAACAAACAATTACCCTCTTCTTGCCAATTTCCATGCATGATTGATCACCAAACTCCGCCGGCAATCCAACCCCCTGTCCGACTGCCCACCGGTAGTTCCTGTCTCGATAAATTGTAGAACTTGAAGCAATGATGCATTAAACACAATTGCAGACAAACTCAATAGAATCATTAAACACACACACAAAGAACAAAACAGATGAATAATTTGATCCAAAGAAAGTTGAAAAAAAAGCCCCCAGGATAAGATGTCACCATTTACACAACAATCCTTTCTTTTTCTTTTTTCTCTTCAAGGATTTTCAGTCTAGAAATTATTTATCAAACAGGTCCATAAGGAGTGAAGGGAAAAGAAAAAATGAAAGCAAAAACGTAAAAACCAAAAACAAAAAAAAAAAGAAGGGAAGAAATACAAACGATTCTACTTAGCTCCTCAGTCCTCACTTAGCTAATGCCACGACTATTTACAGTGGTTGCTCCTACTTACTGTCCATCCCAACTACAACACCTTCCAGTGAGAAAACTCTTTTACTGATATCTAATCCTAGTCATTGATAACTCCCACAAACCCTAGAAGTCTTATTTTCTTCATCTCAAATTCAAAACTGGCACGAGGTACCAAGCCTCTGTCTCTGCCTCTGACTAAAGGTAACAGACTTGCGTTTGGCAAATGCCGGGTGCAGCAGTTCCTGAAATTTTTCCAAAAACAGACTCCATTCTTCCTCGCTCATGTCAGCCAGCTTCACAAAAGTCGCACTTGCAGGAAGCTGTTCATTGGCACTTCTATGCCCAGAAGATGTGTTGGAAAAATAACCATTTTCTTGTTTGGCGCCTGAAAAATTCTGGCATTTCTGTTTCTTGTCACCTAATGAGATATTCTTAAGCGACATAGAAAGCTTTGACATGGTTGGAGATCTTTCAGGCAAGGTTAGAACAGAAAACCCCTTTTTGCCTCCTCCATCCTCCGTGCTTCCCTCCTCTTCTTCCTCCTGTTCCTCTTCCTCTTCCTCCTCCTCTATGCTTTCCTCCAGTTTTGAAAGAGGGAAACGGGCTCCAGACCCAAATTGGAAAGGGGTTCTAGTTGTGTACTCTTCCATTATCTTTGGAGTGAAGTCATATTCTGTTTCATCACAGTCTATATCAAATTGGAATTCCTCATCTCCCAAATCAGTCCGAGGAGAAAACTCCTCCCTCTCTGCAATTAACCTCCTTGCCTCAATACATACAACCTCAAGTTCACTGGGTTCCTCCTCACCAGCACGAAATTCCCTGCTCATCATCTCACCAATTTCTGCTAGACAGAGACCTGCAGCAGCAGCTTCCTTGAGGAAAATTGTACAGAGAACCAAGACCCTTAAGCATGCCTCTCGAATCATAGGGAGCTCCATTCGCAGCATATCACAATCCTTGCTGGGATCAAGTTTTTCTATATACTCAAGCTCATCCTCTGAGAATGGGATTGAAGCCTGTGGCCAATGGATCCACTCAAAGTACGGGTCCTCCAATGTTTCCGGCAAGCAAAGACCATGATCAATTGGAATCAATTCCACCTGCCCAAATCTCCCTACACCATCAAGCTTCCTCACCAAAAGGTTTCCACCATGCCTGTCCGTGTTAAAAATTCTAATATCTAATATTCCAATACGATGCACAGCTGAAACAGGGAAGCTCGATGTCCCATGATCACTTGCATCAAAATCATGCGGTATGAACTGTTGGAAAGATGCAATCTTGCTAACCTGCTTCTTCTTGTGAGGTTTGTTGCCATTAACCCCATCATTCACATTGAAGATTGAGTGAGTGATCTTCACCAATGCAGTAGGTGGAACATTTGCAAAGTGATCATAGTCCAGAAGGTAAGCAGCAACTTCCCTGAACCCTGTTTCCCCAACCCGAACAGAACGTTTTAGACCAGGCTGCCCAAGGGCTTTACCAACAAAGCCTTTCGGGTTGTTGGGTGCAAAAGGTTCTTCATCTGTTGGCTTAACAATTCCTACACTCTCACCTCTGCTGTTCCTAAAATAGTATGCACCTCCAAGCCCGCTATGAACAGGAATTGGATCAACGCCCATCTTGATCGCCTTGACACTTTCCTTGACCATTTGTTTCATTTTAGCAAAGCTATTTGACTGTCCTAAAATCTCAATAAGACCACTCTGGTCCCTTTGTTGGACATCTTTGCCAGTCGGCGAAAGACAGGGAGTAGATGAGCTTCTATGTAGAAAGTTCCGAGTTAAGAGAAGAGGCGAATCATTACGAACAGCACTAAGATCATTTTTCAGCACCATATCCCCAAAAGTCAAGGAACTCTCATCAGTGGGCACATTAAGAGCAAGCTGCAACCTCCTCTTCACTGTATGTGCATTGTCACCACGATCCAATTCCATCCCCAAGACACATCCGGTCTCAGTTTGGACAAAAACCCGTCTCCTCCCAGCAGGTTGTTTCCCTTCAATTTTCCTGCTCCCGTGATATTCCCCACTGAGAGGACTCTTAAAGACTGCCACTGCCATTTGGGTCTGAACTGGGCTGTCCAACTTACGAGACATCAAAGGGAATCAGAACCTTATGGTCTTTGTGGCTGGTGAGAGAGGCAGGAAAGAAGGAAGAGAGCTTCTTCCCTCCCAATAATGCGCCAAACACCAAAACCAATCGCAATTGATTTTGCAGCAAATTGTAGAATTCACTATCAATCATTAAATTGATAACCTTAAATTCAAACTCAAACCACAACTCAAAAAACAGAAACCATCACCCGCAAAAAGTGCAGACTGCAGACTAACAGACAAAGAGAAGATTTCAAGCTCAACTCTCCATTACGCAGGCCATTTCTAAAATCCAGAATATGTAGAAGTATCTGGTAAAAAAATAAACAAAAAGTTGTATTAACATCAGGAGCAACAAATGATCATCAGCTTAAAAATGGACCCTAAGCACTAAAAATTTAACTAATATCACCCGCAAAAAGTGCAGACTGCAGACTAACAGACAAAGAGAAGATTTCAAGCTCAACTCTCCATTACGCAGGCCATTTCTAAAATCCAGAATATGTAGAAGTATCTGGTAAAAAAATAAACAAAAAGTTGTATTAACATCAGGAGCAACAAATGATCATCAGCTTAAAAATGGACCCTAAGCACTAAAAATTTAACTAATATCACAGATCCACTATCTTGGTTACCAAAAGAACAAAAAAGAAAAAAGACACTGTTCATTGAATGCATCTGGGCACATCCATTGTATTTATTCAGATTTCACAAAATCTAACACTTACAAAGCTTTCCTAACGCAATAATGCATTCCTAGCAACTAATTCAAGCATTTGTTGAAGACACTTTTACAATTATCTACAGAGAGTAAAAGTTGATTTGAGTCCAGAAAGGAAACCATAGCTAAACTCGAAGAGATGAAAAAAGAAAATCCAAAAATTAATCTACAACGAACCCTATTTTAACTAAAAATCAGGATTCAACACTAGCTTACATGAGTCTGCATAAACTCAGGAACAAATTAACACACGGAAGTGAAAGTTTCAAGATTATATTGTCAAAAAATACCACCTTAAAAAATGGAAAAGAATGCTTTCGTAATCAAATATATGTTTGATTAGAAACCCATAAAAACGGAAAAAAGAAAATAAACCGACCTAGAAGAAAGAAACGACATTACAACCTAACAAAAAGAAACCAGTAAGAATTTCAATGGCAGTAGAGAACTTACCCAGATTGCAAGATCTGATACAACCACCGGAGTCTTGAATGAATCAGGGCCGTACGATTAAATTGAAAAACTTTGAAGAAAAAAATTGATAAAAGAATAATCACCAGAACAAGAAGGTTATGTTCTCTTCTATGAAACAGCGTGAGACGAGGCGTATACGAAGGTTTCAAAGGAGGAGGAAAAGCGCAAGAATGGAATCGCCCGAGTTGACTCAGAATTGTATCAAAGCGAATACCCAAACAAACCTAAAACGGAAAACCCTCCTTTGATTTCTTTATTCTCTTTGGGCCTCTGCTCTCTCTCTCTCTCTCTCTCTCTCTCTCTGCCTTTCCTCTCTCTCCCTTTCTAGGAACGTTCTTTAACTTGGTGTGAAGCCTAGTTAATAATTAACCATGGTTACTTCTTTACTCCAGTCAGTCTCTCTCTATTTTTATTTTGCTGTGGGATTTGGAAGAGTCTAGAAATGGATCTAGGAGCCGTTGGATCTAAGTACCGGTGGAGAGATGGAAGCCGTTGGATGGCAAATGTATGGAGGAAGAGAGAAGGGGGTGAGGTGGAGATAAGGAATTGGTCCATGACGTGGGGGAGTCGCCGTCTAAACAGGAAGTGTCATCGAATTGGATTTGGGAGTTAATGAGATTTTTTTTTTTTTTTTCCTTTTTCTCAAGGGTTAAGTACACTCTTTTTTATTTTTTTCAGAAAGTACACTCCATAATTTTTAAATACGCTTCTCTATATGTTTCCTTATATGATAAAATAATTTTAGTCTACATGATAATTTTAAGTCAATAAACAATAATTATTAATTATATATTGTGTCTATGCTAAAAATAATTATACGATGGTGAATGTTGCAAATATGTTGCTATAAATTTGTATCTCAACTTCAAAATTTTATTTTCGTATCATCCCAAATTTTATGGACCTATTATATCTTTAAAATTATAAATTTTGTCTATATTGTACATATTTTCATATTGGCAATAATAATTTTTTAATAACTTTAGAATTTATATCAATTTCGAACGTAGTTATTACAACTTTGAAAACAATTATCTTCATTTTTTTTTTTAAACTATCTATAAGTGATTAATTATCTAATTTGATAAGTTTAAAGGTTAAATACAAATATATATATATATATATAATTTAAAAATTATTTGGTTAATCTTGATAAGTTTAGGAAGGTGAGTGAGGCAAGAGGAGTATGAGAGTGATGTATTGTATAGTAGCTTAAGAGAGCGGGTAATGAACTGTGTATGTATTCTTTTATAGGTTTTGAATTATATTTTCAACCTATGAATCAATAAAATGTCATAGTACCCTCCTATAAAGTCAGTTTATCTAAGATAAACCTTTGTGCCATTACGGTTCACAGTGTAGAAAGATGGTTCAGTTTGAAAGAAATTAGTAAAAGAGAACAGACTTATGTAGTATGATTCGGTGGGGTATCCATGATCTTGCATAGCGTCCTCCATTGGGCTTGCCTCTGATGTCCTAATTGTGAATCACTATATATATATATAATTTAAAGAGCTTAATAAGTGTAATTTTATAAGTTGAATAATTCAATAGATCAAATTAAAAATTATAGTCCTATGAAATATTTTACGTAATATACTTTAGGCATTTAGTCACATTAGAAATGGTTCAGTTTAAAAATTATAAAAGAAAGACTTATGATATGATCGGTCATATCTTGCATAGGTCCTCATGTGTCTTGATGCCTAATTGTAATATATTTGTGGCAGTGATAATCTATGATGGTAATTAGTGAATTAATAATATATATTTATAAAATTATAATAAGAATATCAATGTTTGAAGAATATTCCGTTCTGAAAATAAAACATTATTTTTCTCTAATGTGGCTTTATTTTCCTTTTGATCATGGAAAATTTTCGGTTAACTAATTTTCTTGAGAAGCCAAAACATTTAGAAATCTAAAAAATATTTCTCAGACAATTTATTTCTCATAAATAATATTAGTACTATTTAAAAATAAATTTTTAATACAAAACATAATACATATTTAATTTATTGGCTAATTACTTTCTCTTTTTTTAGAATTATTGTCTAATTATTTTTATAAGCATGCTAATTGGAATATATCATGATTGTTTAATATTTTTTATCATGTAATTTTTTGTGGAAAATAAATATTATTTATTTCGTTGACAACCAGTCAAAGAATTATGTTTCTGTGTGTAAGTTGTATAATTATTTAGAAAATGCAAAAAAAAAAAAAAAAATTAAAACAATTGTAATTCAATCAACCATTTTAAGGATAACAATATCAATTTATCCAAAACAAATGCAATAGGGAACATTTTAGAATTATCGTGTAATTTTAACCATTTCATTTTTGTATTCGAATATTTGTTTTATAATTCTATATTTAAAGTTAAATTTAAATGTATTATTTTAGATAACTATTCGATTGGTCCGATGATTAAAGAGGCTTGATTGGTGGGTCCTCCTCCAATTAATCAAAGGTTAGAAGACTTGCATACTGCTTTTCAATGGTCAAATTGTCAAGAACGATTTTCCTCCGTGCTAGGTGATCCACGGCTCAAATTCAATGAGTCGTTTTTGGATGGTAACGTGACCGGAGACCGAAATTAAAAAAGGTCATGGGGGAGGAGGAGAAATTATTCAGTACATCATTAGTTGTTTAAATAATATATGCTTCCGTTTCATAATCTTAGTCCTGATTTGACTTCGATACTAATTAATAAAATTTTAATCTATTGTTCAACTAGTATTCCTCAGTTCTAAAATATGAGGGAAAATTACTATTTTATCTCCTATTTTGACCAAATTAACAACTTCATCTATTTATTTTATTCAAAATTTCATCTAACACTTTCATCCCTTAGTGTTGTTTATTGTTTACAAAGATTACTTTTATATTATTTTAATAAAAAATATAAATTTTAATTTGTTTTTAAGACGCAATTACGACATATCAATAAGTTCAAAGATGTCCTAATTTCTTTTTTAAAAAATGCATGCTTTGTTAAAATATAATTACAATCAAATTAATAAGTTGAGGACGCTGAAAATGTAAAAGCTGATTTAAGAATTATTTAAAAAGTTCAATTTGAGATGGATGTTTGGGCCTTATAACATGTTCTACATTTATTTAAATAACTAGATCTTTTTGAAGAGTAGAATTATAATGGATTTGAACAAGACAAAATCAATATTTCTATGCATGAAATAACAATTTTTGCAAAAAAATAAAAAATAATAATCGGGTGAAATGGTGTTTCTTTTTTTTTTTTTAATGTAAAATGAGGGAAAAATTAAAAGGAAAATTTTGTGTTTCAACATTGAAATTACAATCCATATATTGTAACCCATTTAATTGGATAAAAATTACAAGTGGAAGGGAGAGAAAAAAAAAATCATATCATGCAATTACAATAACAAAAAAAAAAAAAAAATAAAAGTACATATGAACGGCAGAGAAATAAAATACATATTCATCATCAGCGATATTAGACTGAATTCAAAATATAAAAAAGAAATAACAATATGGAGTGATTGAAAAAGGAAAATATACATAAAAAAAAAAAAAAAATACAATATGGAGGATGAAAAGAAAATATATTTATGAGAACACTGAATTTAGGAGTATATACCATATTAATGTCTTTCTCTTATTTGCTTATATAGTTAAAGGTGTAAAAATGGGTTGATTAGTCATATTCATGTTAGATTAACCTAACACGATTAATATTACAACCAACATGATACGTCAGTATTAAAATATATGAATCTCAGTAGTATATAAAATTTAAATAAATTACACATATAACATGTTTAATTAAGTGGATCAAAAGCAATATACACATAACATAATTACTTAAAATGTAAATATATTATATTTAAATGACTAATTTATTTTTAATATTATTATAAATTTTATGGATTGTCAACATTATATCGTACCAACTGACACACCAACATAATAAATTTTATTAAAAAGATCAAAATTAATTTACGAATCAATTAATTATATTCGATTCATCCGGTTATAACACGAAAGTATAAAAACTCAATCCTAATTAAATAATTTTATGCATTTAGCTAATTGCATTCACATCCTATTTAAATATTACTCAAATGGATTTGGGAAGTGAATATAT